GGCTTATTATTATTATTATTATTGGCAGCATATAGCAGGTTTCATGATTGCTGAACTTTCTGTACCTTGTCTGTTATGTTAACAATACATTGTTTTATATGACGTCCATTTTACGTACACACTATCAACAAATGAAAAAATATTAATAATGTTCCTAATTCATTACTATCCTTTTAAGACTGATTGTTTTATCTGATTGTACTTAGGTACTAGGTACTTATTATTTCTTATAATAGCGAGTTTTTTTATAAACCTTATTTAGTTAATTTATGTTTTGTCCCTAACTCTTGTTGATGCCAGTATTTGACATTGATAGAAAGTGAGAAAACATATTTTAACTAAAATAGGTTAGTAGGTAATTTGTTTTAATAACCATTCACGTGGGTACCGAAATTCCCGAATTTCCCGGTTTTCCCGGTACTGGCTTAGACCTGGTACCGGTAATTCAGTAACACTCCTTAGTACCGGGACTTGCAACCCCTAGTGCAACGGCATGATCGCCTCACACATAGGGCGACCTAGGTTCTACCGGGCCATGGGTGCTTCGGGCCATTCCTCCACCGTATAGGCCAAGAGCCTGTAGATGGTTGTCAGTTAACACTGCAGTCTTGGCACGTGAGTCACCGCAGCAGACTGACACGCTCCAACAGTGCCCAGCCTAAGCGAACGAGTGGCGGTTGGAAATGACCTCTCCCTACCAATCGGGAAGAGGCGTGAGATAGATAGATAAATTGTTTATTTGTTGTAACACACTTTTTATAATGCTTTTAACACACACATTATGTATAGTTGCTATTGAAATTCAATTCAATATCGAAATAAAGTTAGTCAAGAAACACACTAGGTGACACCACTGGTATTTTGTTACACAGGTTAATAATAATTTCAACAGTTGCAACATAACAAAAGTGACAAAACAACATAAGATAAAGATGACTAGCGTTTCAAATAGTCCCCTGCGTCAGAGTGATGTGTGCCGCAGCGATGCAAAAAGCAAAGAGCTCAGTATAAACACTACCCTCAATAGGGCAGAACACTGATTTTCAGCTTTTGCTAGAGAACGCATAAAGCGTACAGGTACGGAATGAACCCGCTCGCTTTCTAAACAATATCTACATTAGTATAAAATATATTCTTATGAGACAAATAATCTTATGGTATAGTGTGCAGTGGAAAGGGGGAGCGAGAGGCCTCAGCCGACTTTCCGGTTATCCACCGCCGACACCCTGGGCGCAAGAGGACAGCTTATGGTCTCCAACTGTCTCTTCTTAACAGGCCTGGGTCGCTAGACATGGAGGTGTCTGGTGGCGGCTAAGGACGAATACTACAGGCAACAGCCAATGGCGATGTCCCGCGTTTCCTCATATCACTCATATGGATCATGGCAGAAACAGTCAGGTTTTTAGTGGGTGTAGGTAGGGGCTACCCACCTTTTCTGGTAGGAAGAACCCCACATAACCCACTAGCTGCCCCCGCAGCTGGTGGGTATGAAATGTTATGCATTTTCCGGATAAAAAAAGAATAGTTAACAGGAAAAGTTTGTTTTGAATAGGACCGATTTGAAAAAAATCTCTCATCATTAAAATTCAATTTTTTTTTCTGCTGAACATAGGCTGTATAAAATATTCTCAAAATAGTAAAAAACCTTTGACAATTTACTATTTGATAAAGAATTTACGTATTTATTATTGATTAGGACTAATGTATACCATGATTTATAATTATGAAGTCGGTGTTGGAAGATTTGAAGATTTTAAAGTTTCCTTGAGCTGTCACTTGACAGCCTGGCACACTTTTACGATGGTGGATCAAAGTATTTTGGTTTGACTATAGAGCGTGAGAACACGCACACAGTCACAATTATTTTAGTGTGAATAAAAACAGCATCGAAAATACCTAAACTTGACATGCCACGCTAGACGTAAACGCTCTTAAGTACTAAAATGCTACAAATGCCGTCCAAAAAACAATATCAATTAAAATATTGTTTTTTGGACGGCATTTGTAGCATCAATTTGGCCTAGTAGTGACATAAAATATTATTCAAAATGATTGGCAAAAAGCAATGTCATGTATGAAAATATACATTTTATATCGTCGACAATAACAGTGCCAATATTAATAACTGACCCAACGTAATATTTTGTGATTTTATAACGCACCACCTCAGAATATACATGCACGAACCGTAACTTGACATGAACCTACCATAAAGTTACTTATACTCAAGACATAATGTTCAAAATGCATTGTTAATATTTGTGAAATGCTGGTGGTGGTTGAAACGTTTAACATAGGAAAGACATCTATGCATTAATATTCAGTTTCTTTTAGATTTTGCTTCAATTTGTCAGATATTGTCAACAATAATATTGACAAGTCGGTATTTTAGTGTTATAATATGACATTCAGCCCAGCATAATAACATTATGAGCTTTATTAACAACAAAATGCATTATTTTTAAACATTATACCAAGCAGACCCCATTTCTGTTTCATCTAGAAATAATGTAAATAATCTATCCTCAATAATGGCTAACTGTAGTCATGAGAAATTGTTATCAACTTGTATGAAAAGGAGAACAACCACTTTCTATGAAGCGTTGGGCCCAGTACTAAGTTATTTGTACAGCTACAAATTTTATGTCGTTTTTATGCCTTCATAAACTAGTTTATTATTGTGTTTATTTGAGGTTGCTAACTAGTGTCATTCTCGAGAAAACTAAATTAGAAAAAAACTAGAAAAAATGTTACTTTTATACAAAATCAAGTCGTCAGTTACCCAAATCGCAAGCAGAATCCGTTAGAAATAGCATAAAATGTTATTAATCGATAGTTTTATTTCTTCTTCTTCTTTTAATTAGTTTTAATTCAACAAGCATTCGCAACAGTCTCATCCTTTAGATCCTTTAGACATACTCTCTAATCTGTGGTCTCATCTGTGATTCGCAAGTGACATTGCTGCATTGACAGATGACAAAACGAATTATTTTCATTCATTATTTCATTCAATCATTTTAGTTTTGTCATCTGTCAGTACAAACCTTCTTAAAGATCAAATACACTGAATTGTCCCACCCGTGACATTGACAGGGGGCGCCACCGTCAATACCGGATCGCTGGTTCCGATTTTTGCCATGTTAGAAACTATATAGTTGAACGATGGTGGCGCCCCCCTGTCAATGAGTTTGGTGGGACAGTATAGTGTATTGAGTCTTTAATCGATTGACTTTTAACGTTCCATTTTACGTTATCTTAGATTAAATCATTAATTCGTTTTTATTATTGTATACGACTTACGACATCAGTTAAAATTATCATTTTTACCGTAAAATACTCCCTAATGTATGCGTAATATAATATCAAAAACCTACCAATGTACAACTCTGTACAAACTTGGGCCCAAAATGGTTGTTCTCCTTTGGCACAATTAGGAGAAAAAATATGTAATACACATACATATTTCAAAGCAATTTGTATAAATTACTATACTCAATCAAACTCAATTCAAATTAGGTATACCACATGTGCCCAATGTGAAATACATAAAGGAGTTAATAAATGTTGTAGATCAAAATCAAGAGTACTTTAGTAGGAACTATTGCTAGATGTATGTACAAGACGTGTAAAAATAACGTGGCAATGTTACGTCTAAATTACTCATAGATTAATGCAACATATACCCACAAAAATACATACAAACACCAACATTGAAATGTACATGTATCTCCTATTAAAAAAACCAATATTCATTGTATTAATCTATGAGAACTTTGCGCCATGTAATTACGTCGACTCGTAAAAAATGACATTTTAGATCAATACTCATATCTATTTCAACATTACTTAGAAACCTGGCTAGGAGTTCACTGCTGCCGATATTTTATATGATATCAATTTAATAAAAAACAAACAGCACGTTGACAAATGTTGACATTTTGACTTTGTTAAGGCAAAGTCATATTATACATACGGGTCAGAAAAGAGCCAAGAACGAGGAAACCAGATTGTAATAGATTATCTATAGTCTGGTCTGTGAGCACGTAGAATTTTGTCCAATGACCCCAAGCTACCAATCCTTATCACTCGCGCGTAATTATGTTGCTGTCGCGCTCGCACACACACTGCGGGTGCCAGTCGCACAGTCGCGACAGTAATATAATTACGCGCGATCGAAAAGGATGGGTAGCTAGGGGTCATTGGACAAAATTCTACGTGCTCACAGACCGGGCTTTAGTGTATAATGTCAAATCTGTGTGACTTGCCTACCCAGGTGAGTTACGATGGCCGCGAATGTATAATTAAAATCCAAAGAAAAACAACACTTCCTATTTTGTATCCAACTCTGTCGTGCTATCCAACTATCAACATTAAAAAAGCAAGCCTCCGACAGTTGGGAATGTATATCGGCTGACTAAAATCTGATGTCTACCAACACAGTGAAATGGAATAGTAAAATGTCTTCGAACTAGAGCGTATCAATTTTTTATTCAGCTGAGCATAATGTGAGTGTATAAATAATTTATTACCACGTGTTGTCGAATAATTGACAACTTTAACCTTCTGAAATCTTGTTACTTCTTAAAACATGTTGTGTATCTACTGAGTGATTGCATTGTCCCAGTAATTTCAACTTATCTTTGTAATAATCGTAACAGTGACATTTGTGACAGTCCTTTTTTCGAAATGCTCCACCGAGCTAAATACATACAAAATATGCCAGAGTGAAGCGATTTCGTAATTTATTACGCCTGTCACCTTTATGTTAATTTGAACTCAGTACGAAGATGCTTTACTTTCTCATTCCACTGTGACAAATTATACTAGTACAAAAGGTATGAAAGGCGGGCTGTAACAGTGACAGTAACACAGTGACAGTACCTAGAGCGTGACCTCGGTGGTGGCTCGGTAGTTGCTGAGTAGGAACGGCGTCGGAACCAGCTCCGCTCGCCGCCGGAGCCGCTGCAAAGAGCGGCTGCGGTCGTGTGCAAGCGGCGCAACTGGAATGACAGACGGTCTACTTAGCTTGATACCCATTGTAGTACTAAAAAAGTAGTTGAAGCTAATCTTATGAAGATAGCAAAGTAAGTTTATTCAGAAAATGTATCTATTAAACGTCTAATACAGAGTATCGACCAGAGTAAATACAAATGAGTAGGTCATCTTCATAGAAACGCACGGGCGCGGTTTGTATGTGAGCGCGCCAACACGTATGCGGCGCGCACGCACACACTGACAAAATTTAGCGGGGATTAGCGGGGAGCCAGTCGTGGTTGCGCCGAATTTTGTCAGTGTGTGCGTGCGCGCCGCATACGTATATTGGCGCACTCACATACAAACCGCGCCCGTGAGTTTCTATGAAGATGACCTACTCATTTGTATTTACTCTGTTGATACCCATTTTAACACGAAAAAAGTAGTTGAAGATAATCTTATGAAGATAGCAAAATAAGTTTCTTCAGAAAATGTATCTATTAAACGTCAAATACCGACATTTAATTCGATACGAAGTATCGACCGACAGACATTAAATATCGGAGTAGAAAAAAAACCAACTGAACATCTTGCTGTCACAGTTAAGCTTCGAAAAAATAGTAGTTATCTACTAAGGCTGGCTTGCACCATCTTACTTCAACTTAAAAATCACTCTATACAAAAAAACACCGGTTATCGTTATAGTTACGGTCAAAGTTAGGGGGTGCAACTCAACCAAGTATAAATATTTTGACCAGTTTTTGTAACTTGAGTCGCATCACGTCATGCCCTGAATAGGACGTTGCACACCTCTTCTTTTCTTCTCTTATTTCTTCTATAAGGGCTATATTTCACCGGGACACCGTGGCGGCGCAACCAGTCGACGCTACCAACAAAATGTATACAGCTCTATAGAGAGTTACTCACCTGGTGTCCGTTTGGTTGCGCAAAGCTGCATACATTTTGTTACATACGGTGAAATATAGCCCTAAGAGTGGCAATAAATGTGCATGAGTCATGAGTGAGTTCATGGGTGAGTGTAGCATCTAACTGATAAGTAGTTCACATACCTGGGTGACGCGGCCTGGGCAGCGAACACGTGTGCGCGGGTCAGACCCAGTACTGGTTGCGGCGCAGCATCGGGTTGGCGGGAGCGGCGCCTCCGCGCACCGGGAACGCCGACTCGCTCGCCTCGTAACTGCTCCAGTCTTCGGCCTGCTCAAGATAAAATTATGACACGTCAACACGGTAAGACTTATTGACAAGACTGACAGCGATGTGCAGCTGACGAGTATATGGAGAACATACGGAGTCCATGAAACACCTACTGTGCGAATGCGACGCGCTAGCTAGAACTAGAATGGGTCTCCTGGGGTCGGCTTATCCGACACCAGAAGATTATAGGTCCCTCTCACCCAAGCACTTGATTCACTATATGAATAGGATCTTTGCGGATAAAAAGGTAAAAGGGAAGCACAAAAGATCCTAATGGGTCGACGTGCACTGCGCCCACGCGCGGCCCTAGATAAAATAAGACAGCGATGTGAGAGTATGCTAGGCTGATGAACACGGCTACGCGTACTTTACCGCATGTTTTGGCCGAACGGACGCGGTTGGCCGCAATCGCAAACGCGCATATGCGCGACGGTCGCCGCTGCGCGCCGTTTGATGTGAATCCCGGATTACTAATGTTTGGCCAAAAAACGTTTCCCAAATTATCACATCGCAAACAACGTTTCGCAAATTTTCATTTGGCAAATTCTCATTTGGCAAAGCAACTTATTGCAAACTTTTAATTCGCAAATATTGTTTTTGGCATATTATTGTTTAGCAAATTATTGTTTGGCAAAGTATGGTTTGCCAAATGTTTCATTAGGCAAAAATATTTCACGATAAACTATTTACAAAATAATTTGATTGGTGCATAGAATGGATACAAATTAGCTTGTGGTTATTATTTTGTTTAGTGGGTAGTTAATATAAAATTTGTTCTACATTAATTTCCTTATTTCATTCTTTTTATCGAAATTTCCAAACGATTCATTAACAATAGAGGTGATTCTAGCGCTCGGCGGCCGCTGCCGCGGCACGCTTCGCTCGCCTTCGCGCATTAAGGGTCACTGTTCTAACCTAACCTAACCTACTTTTTTCTGTAATACCTACTTTTTGCAACCATACTATTTCCTGCAATGTTTTACATAAAATTCTTGTGAAAACCATGATCATGTGCCTTATACTTTGATTTGTGGGTAACGGTGGGTAAGTATGTGAAGTGTCAATTTGGCCAAACAAATTATTTGGGATATAATATTTGGCAACATAAAACATTTGCTATATAAACGTTTGCCAAGTAAAATTTGCCCAAATGATAATTTGACCAAATGAATTAGTTGCGAAAAGTACAGTTGCTAAAAGTTGATTTGGGAAATGAAACTTTGGCGATAAGTTGTTTGCGAAGTGAAATTTGGCGAAAAGTAATTTGGCCAAACGGAAGGATACCGTGAATCCCGCCTTAGTTCACATCACCAAGTCCACCAAGATAAAAAAATCGCAAGATTCAATAGCTTTTATTGGGGGGGGGGGGTCTACAACTTCATACACCAGTGGACTAAACTCGATGATGAAAAATAAAAATTGGTCTAAAGTCTGTTCGCCGAGAGTTGATAAAAAAAAATATCAGAGGTTCTAGACTCATTATAAATTGCGGCCCGCTAATTATTTTTGTCGATATAATGAAAAAGTTGGTAGATTATCATTATTATCTCTTTTTAATTTACGGGAATTATTCCGGTTAGGGCATACGTGGGGATACGGATCAAACACGTGGCGTCCATGTGTTGGATAAAAAGTATTTCATTATTATCAAGTGGCTTATAGTGTATCCCAATGTTGGGCCCTACCCACTGTCATACCATTCATTTCGGTCTTATGTAAAATAAATCTATTCCGTTTCACACATTGCGGCCCACCGGCCGGGGCGCTTGACGACAGCTACGTGGCTCGTACCATGGTACTCAGTGCGCGTTGTGACAAACGACGCCCGCCATACAGAATGCGATAATTAAGCGACAGTCGCTATTGCAAGACATTTCATAATATTTATTAACTCTCGGCGAACAGACTTTAAACAAGGTTAACTTACACTTACATCTGTGTGGTCCTCAGTGCCGTAAGGGTAGCGCGTGTTGAGGTCCAGCGCGGCGTCGGCCAGCGGCGTCACCTTGCACGCCACGCTGCCGCTCGACGGCAGAGGCGTGCTCGCGCCGGTGTGCACTGACTGCTCTGACGACACGTACCTAGGGAAAGATCAATGTGAAATGAAAACGACTGTCAAGTGCACATGAGAGCTACCCTCGGAGATGACATCACCCCACCATGTACCTCGTCAGCGCAACCACGACCATGGATTCCGTGGAGGGTAGTTGAACGGGAAGCATGGTCGATCTGTTTTAATGGTTTCAATTTATTATTTAATGGACTTTAGTGTACAAATTTGGTGTTATTTTGTGTTCTAAAGTGCAGTGAAGTGATAAATTATAAAAACCATTGAAATACTTCGAATTTGAGCGCGCATCGAATGTCGAGTGGGTTGTCGTATGAACAACCCGCTTTGGACCCGGTGGCGTCTCGAAACCTGCTTACAGGCATACTTAACTCCACGGAATCCATGAAAAATCAATAGAACTGAAACACTACGTTCTATTGATAATAACTTTGTCAATTATTTTTCACTCGACATTGGCAAAAATAAACCTCCCAGAGAGGTTTGGTTGCCATTTAAAAAAAAAACCACGACCATTCTGACAAGAGACAAAGAGTGTCCGACTAAGAAAAAGAAGCCAAGTGACATCATAAATCTATACTAATATTATAAAACTGAAATTGTGGAACATGACGCTCAACCACCATAAGGAGTTAGAGCATTTAATTTACACAATCTTGGTTTGTCTATATATACTGGGCAGGGTAAAAAACTTCGTCACCGCGATGCAGGATTGTATGCGCGGTGGAGTTTGCCATAGTAAGATCGTAACAGCGCCATCTGTTGGTACGGTTTGTAGTGGCGCAATTTATTAATCACAGTTTGTTTATTTGGTTGAACGCGCTAATCTCAGGAACTACTGGACCAATTTGAAAAATTCTTTTTGTGTTGGATAGTCCGTTAATCCCTGAAGGCTTTAGGCTATATATCATCACGCTAAGACCACTAGGAGCGGAGCACCAATGAAGAATGTTTCAAATCAGTGATTTTTTTCCTTTTGAGAGCTGACGCTGCGTAAACGGTTAAAGTTTCGCATAAATTATGTATGATAGGATTTTCCCCTTTAAAAGTTCTACAAAAAAGTCCGCTACAGCATATGTCTATCTTTTATGGTTGGCTCACTGTAACCTTTTTGTCTGGATGTCTGGATGTTTGTTCCTCTTTCACGCAAAAACTAATAAACGGATTTTGTTGAAACTTTACAGTATTATTATTTATAACCCAGGCTAATATATAGGCTACAATTTATGACGATATGTGACAAACTAAATTTCAATAAATAGTTAAGAGGTGAGAAATATCCTTAAAAACGCCATCTATCGACGTGCTTTTGACGGTCGTAAACATTCATGAGAGCGAAGCCGTGAAACGTATCATTAGTCCTAATTAGGAACTAAATATTACATTTATAGAACTGTTCATAATATTTAAAATTTAGTCATTATAGATATTTTATGTAATTGAATAATTCACTGTGTTTAAACGAGCAAATCAAAGTCTAAATTAGTGACCGCCATCTATCGACGTGCTTTTGACGGTCGTTAACATTCATGAGAGCGAAGCCGTGAAAAGTATCATTAAAATTTTATGTAATTGAATCATTCACTGTGTTTAAACGATCAAATAGTATTCAAACATTTAGATAATAACGTTAAAAACCATTTAAAAATCCTATGAGAACTTTTTCGACTTCTACACGGACGAAGTCGCGGGCAAAAGCTATTTGTAAAATCATCATCATCATCATCATCATTTCAGCCATAGGACGTCCACTGCTGAACATAGGCCTTTGTAAAATAATTAGACTAAATTATTAAAAGTGCCTATCCAAAGTCATTAGTCCACGCGGACGAAGTCGCGGGCACAGCTAGTAATAATGATAAAAGTGATAATTTAATATTTTTTTTGTTAATTAAATATTATTAGTAATTTGTGAAATATCAAATTACTAAAATTACTAATAGTCCCGTTAGCCCCTCGTACTAATCCATACATGCCGCATGTGCCCACCCATTAATGTGGAAACAGCGCCCACCCCCCGCCGTGCGTATAGAAACGTAATACGCATGTGCGCTACTTTCAGCGAACGAAGCGACCATAGCCGAACGGTGAAGGTGTCGCACTGGCCGAATCGTGATAGGTACGGCTAGCACGAAAAACTTTCGAGTTCGAATCGTTTGCGTATTCGAATCGCCATCAAAAGATTTAGTACGAAAACTACAACAGTGCCCTTGTGAACGTGTCGTAAAGTAAACTTAGAAATGAAAGAAATGGTTACAAGAAACTTATTTTGAAGATCAAAATTGTCACGTTATCGTTTAATTCGAAGGTTGAGTATCGAATTTTGTCGAATACGCAAACGATTCGAAGACGAAAGTTGTTCATGCTAGAGGTACCGAGGAACCCGGATTCGATCCCCGTCGCCGCTCGATTATTGTGGTGAACCCAACTCGTATCTCGAGCATATTTAGCTTATCAAGACGGGTTAACGGGACTATTAGTAATTTTTATTTACACATTGCGAATATTCTTTTAAAAAATACAAAATCTGTTTATACTATTTTCGATACATAGCTGTTCGCCCGCGTTAATTTTAAGAAATCTTTGAAACTCGAATGGAAAGATGTTGAAAAAAAAACAGTGGTTGCTGTGTTCCTAACTGAAAAGACATTGATTCAACCAAAAAAAACCTCGTCCAGACTTTTAGACAACTAAAGACGTTAGTGTGTTTATGGAGGATTTCCACCTTTTATGTAGTTTCAGATGATAGGGGAGGTAATAGCTTAAATGTATGTGTAGTCAAAACATTGATTCAATCGAGTAATACAACGTTGACAGTGCATGACACAGTATCTACAGTAGATTATGACATCTCATTCAATCTATAACCAGAGCCCCGATTACGGTAACTTTTAACGTTTCCAATCCAGACACGCTTCTCGATTCTGCGATACGATTGGTCGTTCAACAGCGTACGTCAGCTGTTTTGACCAATCGTATTGCAGAATCAGAAACGCGTCTGGATTGGAGACGTTAAAAATTACCGTAATCAGGGCTCTGGGCTGTTGTTAAACTGTATTTCTGAAGTTCACAATGTAACTTACCGTTTAATCGGCGGCGTGCCCGACGAAGGCGAAGGCATTAGGTGATCGGGCGGCCTGGGCAGCGGTATGGGAGCGACCGCGCCCTGGCTTTGCCCGTGAATCTTGACGAGGGCGTTCTGGTCCCGCATCAGGTACCGGCGGCATTTAAGCAGCCCGAATATCACTACGATAGCCAGGACTGTACCTGACAGTGCCATCAGTATCATCATATAGTAGGACGCCGTTTCGCCGTTTGATACCTAGGAAAAAGACATGATAGTTTCATTGAAGATTATAAATAATGACAAGAATATCACATAAAGAAGAAATGTTGTCAAAACTTACCAGAACTCCCTCATGACTCTCCGGATCATTGGGTCCCGGCAAATTCTTCTTAGGCCTATTGCCAATGAACACTTTAACCTCCCCCGCCGCAGGCTGGAAAATAGTCGCGGCCAAAAGAAACTTAAAACTATCCTCTATCCCATTTAAATCACTTATCTTCTTCTTAGTGACGTAGTATATCACACCGGCTTTTATGTCCTCGTGAGTGAAATACGTCACCTCTCTAACACTCGCACTCGTTTTCTCCCCTGAACTCCTAATTATCTTCTTTATAACGCCGTGTCTGGGCTTTCTTAGTATGGTGTACACAGGATCACTTGCAGTCAGTTTTGCTAGACCCGTGGCATCCATAATATTGAGATTGATCTTAGCTTTTTCAGCTTCGACCTTCAAATCTCCTAACAGCTTCATCAAAGGCTGCACTATCACTTCTATCGTGAAGGGCCTCGTTGAATTACTATTATGAACATATGCTACGAGGTCGAAGCTATCATTAGCAGTAGTCATGTCATTCTGCATGTAAATAACGACCTTATCTATTAAGTCTTTATGAGAGAAGTAAGTCACTGGACTCCTGCCTACATAGATGATACCATGAGACGGTTGTCTGGTGATGTTATACCACACTTTAGTCTTCTTAGCATTGGTCTCCACGTATATCTGATCTGTGGTCACCGTGGCTACGTTTGAACCTTGTTGCAAGTTGATCGGGTGCATAGAAGTCGCATTTAAGATTACTGGCAAGACATCTATGGTGAATACAGTGTACGTAGGCTTGAACTGTCCGTCCCACACTCTAAAATAGAACGTCGCAGTTTGTAATATACCAGAATGTTCATATATGATGCGTCCGCTATTTATATCTTCTTGCGTGAACTTATTTATCGAAAGAGCTTCGTCTATGGTCTGGTTTTTGTCTAACATGACTATCCTCCCTTGAGTAGGGCCGCTGATGATGTCGTAATGAATGCCAGATGGACCTGTATCCGCGTCTTCGGTCAATAAGTCGTTTCTGGTAATCGTATAATTCTCTCCTTGGACGACTTGTATTTGCGGCGAGTCTGTCAGCAGTCGGAATGGTTGGTCATTGACTGGTATTATATGAATGGGGATCGTGACGTTACATAAAAGGACGTAATCTGGCAGCAAGTATAACGACATGTCGATTTTGTCCTGTAAAGTGTCGGAATCATCGTGCTCGTAGTTTACGACTCCGCTTTCGAGTTGCGACTGTGTGAGTGAGGACATGGACGGCTGTAACTCTCCGTGAGACGGCGAAGACCACTGTGCCTCAACTTGTGGCTGCCTCAAGCCAGCTTGAGTCTCTAAATATGATATTACGTTAGTCACATTCACTTTTATCGGCACCTTGCCTCCTTCTTGCACCTCAATTTGAGGCACGTAAACGTATTTTGACAAGCCGCCAGATGATACAGAGACCTCTATGTTAAACGTTTGGTCCATAATCGGTTTTGCCAATGCCGCTTCGACGGTAAAGATGAAGGAATCATTGGTGTATAGATCTGAGAAAGGGTGCGTGTGCTCGTAATACACTTTAGAATCGTTGACATCTTGTTGAGTGAACTGTTTTATTGTTCTGTGGTGGTTGTCACCATTCAGCATAATAAGTCTACCGAGGGTAGGAGCTCTCTCAATTTTGTATACAATTGTTCTGGTAAGATCTGAGCATTTTGACATAAGAAAGTAGTTGTTCAATGGCTCCCTCATGAGTGGGAATACGCGGAGTTTATTTTTTCGGACCAGTTTCAGTGAGACTGATTTTGTAGAGATTAGAAATGTGATTTTAGATAGTTCGTGCAGACCGTCTGTGACGTTGAAGATCATCTTGCCTTTCGTGCCATCTGAAAGACGAGCACTTAGATTATTAAAAGAGCTTACACAAAAATAGCATAGCTAAGTTGTTTCGCATATTATTATGAGACATAATATTTTAGATGAATCGTGAAGTGTATACTCACTCTTATGCACGAATATGACTCGTCCGTTGTCAATGTCGGCTTGTGTGAACCGACTGACGGCGGTCTCCAGGTCACCCTTCAAGGATATGTAGCCAGAGACTATGTCTACCACGCTGATTGTGACATTCTCCAACGGCGTGTCGATATCATTCACATCTGAAATCGGAGATTATAATACTTATAGTACATGTTGGCGTGCTGAACAAAAATGAAAGACTGACGTGAACAAAATTTGATCTGCCTCTATAAACATTATCCTAATCTAATAACGAATAATGTGGTTTACATTTGCCAAAACACAGCAAGGGAAAAAGCTAGGAGCTGGACCCTATTCTCTCTCATCCCACCGGGATAGGAGATAGCTCAAAGAGGACCTGACTCAATTCGTTTCATACCGAGCCGGGCAACACTGCGTACTAATCTCTCGTTTAGGTACTACATTCAGTTAATTTACAAACACTATAACAACTAATAATAACACTTAAACCTACAATCATTTAATTTACAAACACTAGAACGACTCTACTAATAATAACCATAGAGATAGAGAGATGCCAACTAATGCGCAGAGTTCGAAACTCAGTGTCACATTAGAAATTCACACACACAAAGTAATCAAAATATGTACTCATTATCCACTACGGAATCAGTACTCAACGTTCGAATAATCTTTAGTACAACGCAAGCAATGTAAACTGCTTACATTATGACGTCGCTGCTGTCATCATTGCTGTCACGAGCAACGTATTCTGTTTTTGGGCAAATTGCTGCGACACTGGCCCCGCCCCCTTGTCACATCTCCCTTTAGTTTCTGTGATCTGTGCTAATAACACTTAAACATACAAATACTTACACAACTCGTTCCTTGTGAAGGTAAAGGTGCCTCCCTCCCATACACAGAGCCCGGTGTTGGCAGCCACGATTGGCGTCTCATCGTTCACCGGAACTATGTTTATTCGGACGTGGAAGGGCTCGCTCTCTTTGCCGCCCTCTGTGATCGCTGCGAGTTTGAACGCATCTGCTGACTCTTCAGAACCGTCGTTGACATACTGAAAGAGATGTCATTTGAAGATGGAATGTAGTCATATTATTACATAAGTTAAAGCCTGGTCCGTGAGCACGTAGAATCCCGTCCAATGACCCCAAGCTGCCCATCCTTGTCGCTCGCACGTAATTATGTTGCTGTCGCGCTCGCACACTCACTGCGGGCGCGCGTCGCACAGTCGCGACAGCAATATAATTACGCGCGAGCGATAAGGATGGGTAGCTTGGGGTCATTGGACTGGATTCTACGTGCTCACGGACCAGGCTTTAGAGGTAAGATAGCCAGTTCCTCCGTGGTTGATTCCGGGTGAAGGTCGCTTGCACCTTCGGCCTGATACTGATCATCACTTACCATCAGGTGAGATACAGGCCAAGAGCTTCCTCGTTGTGGATAAAAAAAAAGTTTTATAAAACCTGGCTGGGACTTGAATACAATGGTGCAGCTTTTTCGTATGTCTCCGTATTGGACGAATTATTGAATACTGACGTAGGTAAGAACTTCAAATCCTGCGCTGTGCGGATTGTGAAGAATTTGAAACGTACGTTAAGTTTACCACAGTGGATATGTCGACATGTAAATGTCTTCCCATTTCGTTAATCATCTATAGATTTCATTATCATGAACTGTATAGCAATAACAAGACACAGTTATATATGAATAAAATTATAAATTAATATGTCATCACTGTACCTGTATATTTCCAGAATTGAGTTTCAAAACGGGCAGCAAAGTCAGTTCTTGATCAGCCATCACAATCTTGCCGAATTTGGGTTTGTCCAGGACCTTGTAGCTTACAACTTTGCCCCTATAATACTCCGTAAGAGTCTTGAACAAGTCTGGTTTGACACTGACCGTGTCTCCTTCGACCACGGTCAAGTTTGACGCAACCACGTAGAAGTGTTCGGGTATGATGATGACGCTAAGTTCTATGTCTCTCAGCCAGCTAATGCCGTTGGTTACGTCCATTTTGATTCGGTCTCGTGTTCGATTGACCCCCGACTGGACGTATAAAAGTCTGTTGGCGTTGATGATTGACTGATCGAAAACTTGGGTGTGGACTGGTTCTTCGTAGTTCTCCAATTCTATGGTGCCGGGAGTTGAGGCTATTTCTAGCCAGCCGTGGTAAGGGCCTTCGGTCACTTTGTATACGATGTTTGACGGCTCGATTTGCGGATGCATTACCTGAAGCAAAAACGTGGGCTTTAGACAGCTACAGATGTTATTCGGGTTAACGGCGCGCGCGCTTCCGAGCTTAAAAACATCTGAACCAGGGTTATTGACTACCCCAGTACACACATTACTGAAGTGTTTTGTGCGTAATTTAGCGTATTCATTTTTTTTTTGTCACCAACCGTGACTAGACAAGACCATTTGGATATCGTAACTCACGAAATATAAACTCTACTATAGTTTATACTCGTACATACCTCGAGGACATCTTTAGTGATGTTAACGCTAGTGGACTCTTCAACCACAAGCGGGCGAGAGGCGGTCACGCGCAAAGGCTCCCAGTAGCTCGACGGGAATATCCTGATCGGGTACGAGCCTTCGCCCCACGTTTCGAGGCACATCACTTTGAATCTACAAATATAATAACGTTATATCATCTAAAACATTATAAATCGTCTAAAATTCAAAAATGTTAACTAAGGCTTTTGACAATGCCACTCGGGCAATAAAATTTGTGAAGTTCTAGATTTTACACAAAAATGTGTCGATCAAGTAATTTTATCAAGGAGTTTTCGACGCGTGCTGCTGATGCTAAGCTTGAAGCTTATCAATTTCAGGTGTAAGGAATGCAAAGCAAATACTGCGCTTGATTTATGGAGCAAAAACTGAACTGCCAGCACCGAGCTGAATTGATAAGGCGACGTTTAGCTCCTGGTGAACATTATAACCTACTCGACCAGTCCACTAAAGATCTTATTTTGATTCAAGATTTACCAATAACAGATTATTCTTACCTGAACTGATCAGACGGCGTCTTAGGCTCCCTATGCCTGTACGCCACTCGGCCTGCCGCGACATCTAGTTGTGTGAACGTGTACGCGCCTTGTCCTTCGCCGACCTCTATCGAACCATGCTTCGGCTCTAAGGTCACCTCGTAGCGGATGTCTTCTTCAAGGCAGTTCATGTTTGTGTCCACCTGTGACGATAATAAACGTGGGTTTAAGAAAGGCATGTCAGATATGTTTTAGAGAAAACAACTATCACGAATCCTTACTACCCATTAAGTACATATAACGCCCCTTTTAAGGAAATTGGTAGCCAATGTCAATTCAAAATGAATAGAAAAAAATATTTATCAACCAAATATTATATGCAGTTGCTCACCTGCATATCTCTAGCTGTAATAACAACAGCTTTTCCATTTTCTACAATAGAACCATTTGTTGGGTACATCCTTATGAATGGCGGCGACGCCTGTATCTCCAAATTCCCGTTCACGTCGAACAACCCGTCTGATATCCAGAACGCCATCTTCCCGTACTCCTTCCCTTGATGCTTGAATAACACCAGATTCTTATTAATATCGTCCTGAGAAAACTGAGCGATCTGTTCCGCAGGATTGTCTGCCCTAAAAATTCCACCATTCGGAGGATCTTTCGTAAACCTTTGCACCGTGTAGATGATATCCGAAGGCTTAGTATCCAAGTCGGCATCTGTATAACTCAGATCCCTAGCCGTGATCAGGCGAGCTCCCCCGTGGACTATGTGAAACACGTTTTCATTGGCACGCACTGGACTATTATCATTCTTGAGTATTATATCAATGTGGAACACGCCTACGTATTGGAAATCCTCCGGCTCCGGACTTAGAGCCATGAAGTGGAATGAATCGTGCCTACTCTCAGAATCATCATGCGCATAGTAAACCCTATCTGAATTCAGTTCTTGCAAGGTGAAATAGGTCGTGTTATCTCGAGCGATTTTCAAGTTATCATTGATGACCTCAATTTTTCCATGCTTCGGAAGATGTGTTATGTTGAACACGAGATTAGTTACAGCATCTGTTCGGAAATTTAGATGGGTAGCAGGGATGACCATGCGAGATCCTTCCATGACTTGTAGTCTTTCTAGCGTAGTGTGCACTCGACCCGATGAATAGTCTGATGAAACTGACCCAGGAACGTGTCTGATCGTCATCACACCAGTAATGTTCTCGCACTCAGTAGCTCCCACTACGAAAGAGAATTCGTCTTGTATATGCGAATAGGCTCTCCTGTGTAAGCGATACCATAGCTGGTCCGTGTCTATATGGTGTTGGGTGAAGGTGCTGTGCACTTGTAGATGATGCTTCCCTGATGACAAGTGAAGTATACCATACTTGGGCGCTTTCAGAATAGTGTATAACACTCTGTCACTCGGCAAAGCTAGTGGTTTCGTTCTAAATCGAAGATGCTGAGCGGATATAAATGCTTCCCTTGTATTGTTCAGCACAAGCTCTTCGTTGGTCGATTGGTATAATTCGAGTTTGATAAATGTCAATCGAAAGTCGTATAGTGTGTTCGTTCGTATCGTTCCCACTGATGCTTTGAACTAGAAAAAGAAATCATATTTAGGACAAACAATTTTAAAATGTAAATAATTACTAATAGAACTAAAAATACCTTGAACTCATCATGTGTCGGGCTGCCCAGTAAATGCATGTAGCGGACGCGTCCAAAGTTGACCATCTCACTTGTGAATGAGTCGACTGTTTGCCACGTGCCGTCTAGCACTCGTAAGCGTTCCACAACGCCAAATTGTGGCGGTTTTACAATGTCGTACCTGAGGGATAGAAAATATGGTTACACTGTAGACTAGTAATTTTTAACATTATTGGTATAGAGGTAAGATACATTGGATTTAATCACATAAGTACACAATTTACTTTAGAAGGAACTACGACATTGATGGACAGACTTTTACAAGCGTAAATTTCGAAACTATACAACATCAATAAATCATTGATTTCGGCCGATAGTTGGGCCCGATTGTAATTTATATGAAGATTCGGCCGATACCAATGTGCGCACTTTCATACATGTCCATATTGATCAACAGCCCGGGCCAACTATCGGCGAACAAAAAGTCTCTAGTCTATGGCTAGGCTTAGTTATTCCAATACTCTTAATTTATCGCCGATACATACATATCACACTTTTTATTTATTTAAGGCAACATACAGTCATGTACAATCAATAGTATTATAGTAAAGATGAATATGATTAAAGACCAAATTAGTGCCCATTTATAGCTATTACAATATTGGTTACAAATGAGCCACTCTTAGGACTAAAATTTTTAACACCAAGCCAAAACCTGGTGCACAGACAACAGCATATCGAGCCAACCACTATGGAATCTTATGTAGTTGTAATAGTTACTTTTTGCAACTAAAATATATGTAGATATAGGTCCGACATGCTGTCAGTCGGAAACAAAATAAAATAAAACAGAAAAATAAATGAGGAACACAAAGATAGTGACAGATTGGAAAGCTATTCACTAGCCAACTTATATCTAAAGTCGGATTCTTTAGAAATTTCCCTAAATGTAAACAAATATGGCCAACTGACATTAAAACATTTTTAATCTGTGCCCTAGTGAGACGACAAAACCTCTCGTTAATCGCGGATTGAAATTATTGTAGTACTTACGTACCTATAGAAATAATTTATAATGCTTTATAAAGCAATGCATTAAACAATTAGTAGTACATTCAATGAAGAAAAAATACATTGTTGATTAAGACCCTATTTAAATCTATTTAAATGCAATCAGTAATAAAAATAATTGAAATAAAATCAATTAAATTTACCGATTATTGTCTATGACTTACAGGTTATAACACTGATGTGTCAGAGACAACATGGAGATAACACATAATTTTAAACTTCAAGTCAATTTGACAAGTCTCCCAAATTTTCATCTTTCACATAATTTTGCTAAAATAATTTGTTTAAAGATTGATTCCAAACTTGTATAATCGTGAGTATAAAGTTGGTTTCATGGGCTTGTGAAATAATGTGTATGATATTATGAACACGTAAGTGATTATGGTGTAATTGTGTGCAGAAGTGTTTGTTTACATTTAAGGAAATTTCTAAAGAATTAAGGTATACGACTCACTTCACGTGCACATTGGTCTCGTCGGCATTCGTGGTGAATGTCAAATTGTCGGCGAATATGATAGCGTGCGCGTTGTGAACCAGTTGCAGACCAGTGTTGTTGACCAGGCGCACTTGTAAGGGAACCACGGAGATGCGAAGCACGCCTGGCCCGCTTGTCTCTATGCCGTCTGACACCTGAGGGATGGAACAGAAAATATGCTTAAACTAAGTCAAATAAAATTTCATCAACAGCCCTTTACAGTCCACTGCTGGACTATGATCCTCCTCCACTATAGTGGAGGGTTTTGCCATAATCTCCACGCTTGGCAGGCGGGTTGGAGATCGCAGTTTAAAAGATTGATGTTTTTCAGAGAGCGCTGCTGCCCATTCTCTGTTTGATGTGTAGTCCCTAAGTCGCCTCTTACGACACCCGCGGGAAGAGTAGAGGTTGGTGACAAATGTATTCTACTCTGCCGTCACCACACGGCTTACACCCGCGGGAAAAGTAGGGGTAAAAATAAAATTTTGTCTCAGTGATAGGATGCACTCGAAAAGCGAGCTTTAGACCAGCAATAAAACTTGACTTCCACAAGCTATTTTTTACAACTGTGTAAATAGATGTGGCAAGCTAATTTCACAACAAGATTTACAGTGGTATTAGCTTGTAGAAGACAACATCTGCAAATTTTATATCTAAACCTCGCTTAAGACAGTGAAACAGCTTATTAAAAAGGGCACGTCGGAATATAGATATGTTACGGTTAAAGGGATAAATTAATCACATTTATCAGTGATTATTACATAATGTAACCTTAATACTAACAAATATCATAAAAGAGAACACCGGCTTATGTACAGCCTCACATTTTGAACGTTTTGGTATCATATATTAATATAATTTGGCAAAATGAGTTTGGACTGTTTCTTGCATAACATTACTTTGCCATAATGCCTATAACACATTGTTTTGATTTAAAGTGAAAAATAGGTTAAGGTGCGGCGGGGGCGGCCCTTGGGCCACCCCTAAGCCGCCTATTTAGTTTTATACACACATAAATGATCTCAGATTAATCACATTTACCAAATTATGAGGTAATTATTCATAACTAGCTTTCCGCCCGCGGCTTCGCCCGCGTGGAATTTTGTCTGTCACAGAAAAACTTTATCGCGCGCGTCCCTGTTTCAAAAACCGGGATAAAAACTATCCTACGTTCTTTCCCGGGACTCAAACTATCTCTATGCCTTTCATCAAAATCGGTTGCGAGGTTTAAGCGGGAAAGCGTAACAGACAGACAGACAGACAGACAGACAGACAGACAGACAGAGTTACTTTCGCATTTATAATATTAGTTGGGAAGTTGGGATAACCGGCGATTATTCATAATTTTCACATTTATCACATTAACGGTAACAGATATATTATTTGTCGTTTTAGCAGAGTAACAAGTTATATACCAGTAAAGAATAGAATAAAATCTCAGGTTACAACCCGCGAGTTAACTGCGCAGCCTCAGAGGTGAGCAGCGCGCTTGCGCGTGACGTCACCGTCACATCAACGCTCTGGTACTGACAGAGCGAACGCGGGGAGGTGTGCTAAGCAGTGGCGGATTTACNGGCATTGCCATTTGCCGCTAGTAGGCCATTCAATTTTTGCCGCCCCTACCTACTGACTTTTGAAATTCAATACGTTAGTTTAATCCCGTTATTAGTATGATTGTGAACTTAATGATATTTCTGTCAGTTACTAGATTATTATTGCAACCTGCTATGTAATGAAGAGTTTAATAATGTTGACCTAAAAACAGCAGTATGTACTAATCTATGTACTAATACTAAGGTGGGCAAAGGCATGACTTAAAAATAATATGAACACAGACAAAATAATGTGTGGTCAGTAAACATTGTTTTTGGTAAATATTTTTTATTGGACTTAACAGTTTAAAAACAATACAAACAATTTCTATTAAAATATAACATGTTAACAATTCAGTTAATGGTGACAGACAATGAGATCAAATAAGTTTTATATTATTTTCTTGCGAGATTTTAAATTAGCAAAATCATTAATTATATCAACGTATGAAATCTTTTTCATAAGTTCTGACTCTATGCACAAAAGAGATAAAGCATTACTTACTAGGCCAGAAGAATTAGATTTTAAATCGGAAATAATTCCTACAAAAGATTTTATTGCTTTAATGGCCTCATTGGTTGCCCATTAAGACTTTCCTAGGTTTTCGACTTCGACGGAGTTGTGCTTAAGTGGTGGGGGCCCCCGAAAGAGATGCTTTTTAGGTTTTCCGGTTATACCGCGTAAAGTACTTACCCTATCGAAAAGTGGTCTTCCTAACGGTTGAAGGCCATTTAATCCTGCATTAAATAAGACCTAATTAATATGTTTTGGACAAACCGTTCTCGTGCAAATGTTCGGCAAAGTAGAAAATATGTGTATAATTAATGGCCCTCTCCACGTCCAATAGTTCGTAACCCGTAGGCTCCCTACGGAGAAAGAGGGGCAGCCACAGTAGGTAACACAGAGTCGTTCAGGTGAGTGCCAGGAAGAGGTGCAGCAACCGCAGTTAAGGAACGGCTGGGACGAACAAGGATAGGCGCATCCAGCTCGTAAGCCTTGATAGGGTTACACTGGTTGAGGCGCTCCTTTTCAAGACTTGGAAGCCTGCGGGTAATGAGCCATTGGACGTGGAGAGGGTCATTAATTATACACATATTTTCTACTTTGCCGAACATTTGCACGAGAACGGTTTGTTCAAAACATATTAATTAGGTCTTATTTAATGCAGGATTAAATGGCCTTCAACCTTCAGGAAGACCACTTTTCGATAGGGTAAGTCCTTTACGGTTATCGGTATCGGTATAACCGGATAACCGAAAAAGCGCCCCTTTCGGGGGCCCCCACCACTTAAGCACAACTCCGTCGAAGTCGAAAACCTAGGAGAGTCTTTATGGGCAACTAATAAAGCCATTAAAGCACTAAAATCTTTAGTAGGAATAATTTCCGATTTAATTCATTTTTGTGTTTGATTCTACTGGCCTATAAGCTTTTCTTGACCTTAAGTTTTTAACCCGTTTTAAGCAAGAAAAGCTTCTCTGTGAATCTTCTCGCCTGAATGTGCATAATTAGCTAAGAACTACTTAAAGGTAAACAGCTTTCTGTTTACCAAGGCTTGGTAATACAGGGTGGCCCAGAAGAAAATTAACTTTTGAAAATTCAAGGAAACGAAAACTGTACCTACATTTTTACAGAACTTTAACTATTGCAATTTAAAGAAAATTTAATGCAATTTATTTTTAAATTTACTTTTATTAAATTACATCGCCCAGGAGATTTCCTTGACGCTTACAACATTCGATCAAAATACATCAAAATCTTGGAATGCGTTCGTCAGAATTACTTTAAAACCTATTTTCAATTTTTTGCCGAATGCTCAGCTTCAGTTGCTGCATGGTTGTTGGATTATAAAAGATACTCTATTCTTAATGTAACACCACAGAAAATAATTTTCTGGAGTGAGATCAGGGCTTCCTGGTGACCAGGAGATGTCACCCCTGCCTGAAATTATTTTTTTGTGTCTCTTACCATCTAAATGCTCTCAGTTGAACTGTGACACGTAGCCCCATCTTGATGAAACCAAGTGCTCCGGTCATAACCTTGCAAATCTTGCAGCTTTGAAATAAAAAAGCTTTTCAGCCTACCAGTATAGCGCTCCCAAAATTAATCATCCTTTCAATGCAACAAACCAATTAAGCAGTGGTGAAATCTCACTGGCCTGCCTCTAAGAAGCGCTAATCTTATTCCAGCAGACTTCTTTCTGTGAGGTTACCTTATGAGCAGAGTATACCTACTCTAATAATCCAAAAACTGTGCAGCATTCGGCCATCCTGAATCCATTTTGAGGTAACTCTAAGGGCTCCTCCACACGACGCTGCCACCGCGCCGCCGCGCCGACGCCGCGCCGCTACACTGTTCATTACGCACCGAGTAAAACCGCCGCCGCGCCGCCACCGCGCCGTCAAAGCATAAAATCGCGCGCGGCGCGGCGGCGGCGTGGTAGCGGCGTCGTGTGCATCAGCGCTTACGAAAGTTTTCCAAAATTGATGTATGTTGACCGAATGTTGTAAACGTCAAGGGAATCACATGTACGATAAAATTTATAAAAGATAGTACATTTTAAAATAAATTGCACTAAATTTCCTTTAAATTGCAATAGCTTAAGTTCTACAAAAATGTACAGTTTTCGTTTCCTTGAATTTTCAAAAGTGAGTTTTCTTCTGGGCTACCCTGTAAAACAATATACACGAAGTTGTGGAGAGATGGTGCTCGTGCTAGGCTCCGAAGATCCTGTGTTACTTAAGAGTTTTTTATTTTATTTTTATTGAAACGCTATTGGAATATTTTAAAATTCATGATCACATAAGTACCTAAGTATATATTATTACAGTCGTTTATTAATCGTTTATTTATATATGGATTGTGTAGGTATACGTATAATTATTATTTTTTTCCTGTAAAAAAAAATGGTAAATTTGCCGGCCCTCTAAATCTGCCGCCCTAGGCACTGGCCTACTTGGCCTATTGGTAAATCCGCCACTGGTGCTAAGTAGGTGGGAGGGAGAGTCGAAGTGCGCAATTTCCTCGATCGAGTTGTATGGACCATAGTGTAGAATATAATAGGGATGTTTCCTGGGTCAAAAAGCAAGAGTTTTAATTAATCAGGGTTAACTTATCAAAAAATACTCTACACGTATTTTTCATTTTTTCAAACCAATGAAAATTTAAAGAGATAAAGCGCGCCAAAGTTCATAAGAAGAGGCCCGTGACGTCAATGCGTGCATAAAAGTGCCGCACGTTGTGACGTCGTGCGGAACTTCAACGCACCATAACTATGTAATTATTTGGTAGATTGACAAATAAAAATATACGTGTCCAATATTTTTTGATATTAAACATGACGGACTAAAAAATTTTTTTTAGGAATCTAGCCTATTATAAATTCGTTTTCAAATAATGGTCCACGACAAACTGTACAATCATCGTGAAATAATTCGTGTCGTGTAGTTCGACACCCCATGAGAACAACAAGTTAAAAACAAACCTTATTTCAATGAGGGCTATCGTTTTAGCGCTCACCAGTTGGCGCCACTGTAGAGTAAGGTCCTGTCACTTGCTAGTAGCGAAGACAGTGGCACCAACTGGTGAGTGCTAAAGTGGTAGGAGGACTATCGCATTTGCAGTCATCGAGATGGCGCCACTGTAGAGTACGGTCCTGTCAATCGCCAGGGGTGCCAACTGCTACGTATAAAAACGATAGCCCTCATTGTAACAAAGACACGTTGCGAACTTATTAACTATTTGACGCTGACTGTACTGTTGATTGATTGTTGATATTACATTAGAATGTTTTGTAATAAGGTAATAAATAAAATTATCGTATTGACAAGGTTGTTTGCTAGTAGCATAACTGAAATATAGTTCCAAAATACTGGACTGTCCTGTCGATGACATTGACAGTGGGGCGCCACCGTCAATACCGGATCGCTGGTTCAGATTTTTGCCATGTTGGAAACCATATAGTTGAACGATGGTAGCGCCCCCCTGTCATTGAGTTTGGCGGGACAGTTCAGCGTGGGTTATCTATAGAGAACAACGCGTCATTTTTTACACTCCAAATGTCAATGTCCTGTCAAATGTCCTTTCAGACTCAAAATGTCTGCTTGTGACCACGGCTGTAGCCTAGCAGCCGAAACGTCAAGCCAGAGTACATATAGCTCATATAAAAATGTCACGTTGAGACCCGGTTTCTCTATTCAAGTTGAAATGGAACGCAAAAGTTTAAAATCTTATAGTATAGTTCCAAAATACTGAACTGTCCTATCCATGACATTGACAGTGGGGCGCCACCGTCAATACTGGATCGCTGGTTCCGATTTTTGCCATGTTGGAAACCATATAGTTGAACGATGGTAGCGCCCCCCTGTCATTGAGTTTGGCGGGACAGTTCAGCGTGGGTCATCTATAGCATAATGTCACAGAAATAGACACAACTCAAAAGAATGTGTAAACGATAGTTCTCTCTCTCGTGAACCAAACAGAAGCACATAATAAGTAAAATACATTTCGACGGTGAAGTGACAATAATACCTCCTAACTGCATTTATTTTTTTGGTTTTCAGGAGATACAAAAAAATACGTAAATATTACTTGCGCATATAGCAACTGTTTCCACAGTTTTATTGCTATCTAAAAAGAAATATAATGTTAGTTAGGAGGTATTGTCACCACTGTCTATTTGGACAATGACCAAATATGAGTTGTTTACCTGCAGCGTGAGACGTAGCGATGTTTTGTTGAGCTGTTTGTCGCCGTTGGCGCCGTGCACGTACGAGACCACGCCTGAGTCCACGTCCTGTTGCGTGAATGAGTCCACCGGCTGCCCGGACATCTCGATGTGCCCACTGTTGGGATAGTGACAAGCTTCAAGAAAAGCTTTGTACCAAAAAGAAGAACGGTCATCTGTGACCCAGGCCCGACAGAAACGAGACATACCTCAGTTTTTTTGTCATGTCTTAATTAGTTAAATTATATATTTTTTATATTCGAAATCTATTTATAACACTAAAATATTACCCTTTGTTTTTGTTCAGGCGTTATACAAAAACTAATATAAAATGCCTATATATCACCAAAATTGGTAAATGTATGTACCTAAATGTCTATTACAGCTGCTATGGAATGTATCTAAGTGACCTGGAGATAAAGCCGGATTATACAGGGTGGAAACGATAAGTGATCTCACTCGATTATTTCTAAACTATACAAGATATTGAAAAACTAGTTACTGATTTTGAAAGTGCTTCACGAGCTGTTTCAAATGGTACCAATATAGGTTACAGATTATGGAAGCTGGTAACATTGAATTTTTGAATTTTGTAACTTCTCGTTTCCAACCTGTATAATCCGGCTATATCTCCATGTCACCTAGATACATTCCATAGCAGCAGACATTTAGGTGACATGACAAAAAAATTGAGGTATGTCTCGTTTCTGTCGGGTCTGGGTTTTTTTTGTATGGGGCGTGACCGTTCTTCTTTATCGCAAGCGAGCCGATGTCGCGTGTTAAATTCCCGCACCGTATAGATCGTTTCATCCACGAAGACGCGCCCCACCAATTTTTGGTCGAGGGAAACGCGGGGTGCGGGGAGTTTGATCCGAGCAATCCGAGCCTCATTATTGTACTGTGCGTATGCACTCATGGACAATTTAGCGTGTACCGATAACACTCAAACATTAGCGGAAGGTAGCGGGGCGCGTCCTCGTGGATGAAACAATCTATACAAACATTTGTGTGGATGTACATATTTGTTTGTATTGGTCTGGATGTGTTCTCTCTATAATACGTATGTATTTACAAAAAAGCATTTAAGTATGATTATAATGCTATCAGTGTAGCCCATAGTACAAGCTTTGCTTACTTTGGGACTAGAAGCGCAGTGTAAAATGTCCAATAATATTTATTCAATAGCCGAAATTGTAATGACAAACCAGAAGCTTAAGGTTTACGCTAGAACTCGACGCATGTCTGTGTCGAAAAATAATATGAACAGCGCATGCGTGTGGCGGGAGGCGGGTTCACGCCGCGAGTGTGCATTTCCGTGCATAGATAGGCGTGTACGAGCGCAAGTTTTAGTGAGAGATCACACTGCCGGATTGCAATCGTTTTCAAAGCGGAGCGGCGACGCAGTAAATACGCCGCGCAGCCGCTTTGAAAACCTTGTAATCCGCCAGTGTAGCAAGGTCCTTAGCATAAGCCCTAAATGTTGCTAAAGCCTGGTCCGTGAGCACGTAGAATCTCGTCCAATGATCCCATCCCTATCGCTCGCGCGTAATTATGTTGCTTTCGCGACTGTGCGACGGGCGGCGCAGTGAGTGTGCGAGCGCGACAGCAACATAATTACGCGAAACACTTGCAAAAACTACCATGGAACATTGACAGGTAATACATCTTTATGATGTGTATCAGGTGATGTAATTAACACCATTTTGTTTCTGTTATTTAAATGACACCAACCAGAACATTCGAATCTAAAAGAATCTTTTAGATTCGAATGTTCTGAATCTTTTCTTTTTCCGAGTTGAAATGTCACACGCATGCACTGTTACGACTCTGACGCATGCACGGCGGGGAGCGGGCTCACGCCACGTTTGTGCATTTCCGTACATAAAACATAAAGTTAATATTGAACAAAGAAGAAAACTGTGTGATCTTATTACCTGTTAGCCTCGTTCTTTCCATGCAACACAGTGTACAGCAAATCTTCAGGCGGAGTGTCTGGATCCTCTGCCTTTAGGATGTCTGACGTTATGACTTTGCGAGTCCCCTGGAAAATTGGTAAAGAACAGTGAATTACTCAGCATGACACTTTTGGTATGTGTTTCCTAAATTTTCTGTGGCTTAGTAAACAATCAAGGAAAGCGCTACAACAACCCGATAGAGCTAACTGCGCAACTAGCTGGAATGAGTCTCCCTCCCACTTAGGGGTCATCCATAAAGTACGTCACACGTAAAGACGGGGGGAGGGGGTTGACAAAGTGTGACATGGTGTGACAAGGGGTGGGAGGGGTCCTAAGTTTCGTGACATCACATTTCAATTGTTTCAAATATTGAATATAATGTTGATTTCATATAAAAAAAATACTTAATTTAAATGGAAATAAAACTAATTTCGGAACTGCTGTTAATTTAATAATTTTTCGATGTGAAATTGCAAAACATGTGACGTCACACTAGGGAGGGGGGGGGGGGTCTCAGAAATGTGACCACCTGTGACAATGACGGAGGGGGGGTCAAAAAATCATGAAATTCGTGTGACGTACTTTATGGATGGCCCCTTACCCACACACCTCCCTGCGTTCTTCCCGTCCGTACCGGAACCACAGAATAATAATAAGTACTACGTACAGAAGTTTCACTTCGCGAAGGTATTTAAAAAATGTATGCTCAATGTCATTAACAATATGGTGTAATTTAGCTTGTCTCAAGAGTCAAGCACCATTTTGTTGACAAACGTCAGTGATCGGCACTGCGCCGAAGCTATAGGGCTGACTTCGGTAAAATGATGTGACGTGAGGTGCCAAACTGCGGAAAATGGCGGAGGAAATACATGATTTAGCATGAATTATCATGAATAATATTAACTACTTATTTACCTCTCAGTGTCTTCAGGCAACTTAAAAAAGTACATTCTGTGTTATTATTATTATTTAGGCAGTTAAATACTGCACAGTATTTAGTACACCATTTTCTTTATTTTTTCCATCATACACAAGAATACGCGTGCGTGTGTCAATGTTCGCTCGTATGTGAGGCCTTGTCGAATAGTATCCTGTAGGTGGGCCATCGTGCGTGTTTTGTTTTCGATGTAAACTCGTGGAGATGAACAGGCCTGCCGGAACGTCGATGTAACAACACGGCCGCCAGGTACGCAGTTAAAAAAAAACGGGTTGTAAAATACCCATAAAAGAATAAGTCGGTTAGACGGCCCATTTAAGAATCAATGCAGGCAATATGGCGGCGCACACGGCAACCATACGAGGTCGCAAAGTTGAAATTCGGAAAGAGCACATCGAAATCTATAATACCAATTTTCAGAACTCCCGGTGAACTTTCTAGGTGAAACTATCAAAAGACTGGACTCCTAATTAGTATTTGTAGCGATCGGTGACTTTTATTTGAATGCATTATTTTATTATTAATACAACCACCTCGCGGCGCTACCGGCACGGAAGGCTTCGTAGATATTCGTGTTTCGGGTATCATCGGCGCTCAATCGTGTATAATCGACTTTCTCCTACAGTGGTGATCCCCTAAACATGCTACCTTCTGTAACTACATATTGATTCACTGCATATACTTGCTTCCTATGTGTATTACCACAGAATAATAATAAGTGCTACGTACAGAAGGTTTACTTCGCGAAGGTATTTAAAAAAATGTATGCTCATTAACAATATGGTGTAATTTAGCTTGTCTCAAGAGTCAAGCATCATTTTGTTGACAAACGTCAGTGATCGGTGCAAGCCATAGGGCTGACTTCGGTAAAATGATGTGTGACGTGAGGTGCCAAACTGCAGAAAATGGCGGAGGAAATAAATGATTAAGCATAAATTATGATGAATAATATTAACCACTTATTTACCTCTCAGTGTCTTCAGGCAACTTAAGAAAGTACATTCTGTGTTTTTAATATACACCGTGTTACTTTGCATTCTTGCCATATTCACAGAGATAAAAGTAGGGAACAATACCTATTATCTACACTAATATTATAAAGAGGAAAACTTTGTTTGTTTGTTTAGTTGTAATGGATAGGCTCAAAAACTACTGGACCGATTTTAAAAATTCTTTCACCATTCGAAAGCTACATAACTCACGAGTAACATAGGCTAAATTTTATTTTGGAAAAAAAAAGGGTCCCGTAAAATATTTGGGATTTTCATAAGACGTGGAAAAGCGCCATCTATCGTCATTGGTTAAAATCTTCTTGCGCCTGACAAAAATTTTTGAGCCTACGTAAATATTCATGAAGGCAAAGCTGTCAAACGCCATCTATCGACATCATTAGTAAATTAGTAACTAAATATTACATGTACTATGAATAGCGCTGTTCGTAAATAATATTGAAAATTTAATATCATTAACAATATGGTGTAATTTAGCTTGTCTCAAGAGTCAAGCATCATTTTGTTGACAAACGTCAGTGATCGGTGCAAGCCATAGGGCTGACTTCGGTAAAATGATGTGTGACGTGAGGTGCCAAACTGCAGAAAATGGCGGAGGAAATAAATGATTAAGCATAAATTATGATGAATAATATTAACCACTTATTTACCTCTCAGTGTCTTCAGGCAACTTAAGAAAGTACATTCTGTGTTTTTAATATACACCGTGTTACTTTGCATTCTTGCCATATTCACAGAGATAAAAGTAGGGAACAATACCTATTATCTACACTAATATTATAAAGAGGAAAACTTTGTTTGTTTGTTTAGTTGTAATGGATAGGCTCAAAAACTACTGGACCGATTTTAAAAATTCTTTCACCATTCGAAAGCTACATAACTCACGAGTAACATAGGCTAAATTTTATTTTGGAAAAAAAAAGGGTCCCGTAAAATATTTGGGATTTTCATAAGACGTGGAAAAGCGCCATCTATCGTCATTGGTTAAAATCTTCTTGCGCCTGACAAAAATTTTTGAGCCTACGTAAATATTCATGAAGGCAAAGCTGTCAAACGCCATCTATCGACATCATTAGTAAATTAGTAACTAAATATTACATGTACTATGAATAGCGCTGTTCGTAAATAATATTGAAAATTTAATAAATAAAGATATTTTATGTAATTGAACCATTCACTGTATGTACCTATTTGAATCATTCACTGTGTTTAAACGAGCAAATCAAAGTGTTAATTAGTGACTTTTTACAAACTTCCTTGCAAATTCTTACTATGTGCCGCCATCTACCGAGATGAATATTAGGATACGGTTCAGCGGCGGACAAATGGGTTGGGCGCGTGGGCAATTGTAGTTAAATAGGATAAGAATTACTTCGTTTTTGTTTTCTGTATGTAATTTGTTATTTTTTTTGGTAGGGTCTTTATTTTAATTACTTAGGTTGGTAGGTACTTACTTATTTGATTTTAATGATAATTACTATAGGTACGTATAATTTTAGTAGAAAGAAAGGTCATTATTCAATGACCTTTCTTTCTGTCACTTAGTCATTCGACTAAGTGACTCACTCACTCATCACGAAGTCTCAGAAACTACAAGTCTCAAAAGAGTTCTCATAGGGTTTAATGGTCTATTCCACCTGGCTTTGATCACCAACATGATCAAAGTTATTGTAATGTTAGTATAGAAATTGAAATGATGAATTTTAATTTCTGTGACGGGTCTGGGTGTGACTATGTATAATATTTATGTATTTAAAAAAAAACAAAAAAAAAAAGGTATATAAGTAGTATATCCGTTAAGCTAGCACCCATAACACAAGCATTAAGTTGCTTACTTTGGGGCTAGCTGGCGCTGTGTGAAATTGTCCAAAGATTTATTTATTTATTTATTTAAAGTGGACTCCAGTTAAATTATTTTTTAGTGTTCTTTGATCACCTATAAATAAATCATACCTCTGAATTGTCACATACATGTCCAATTTGTTTATTGCGGTTTTAGAAAATATCAAAAATGTTACAAAACAAAATATGTAGTACAACAATTGGACATGTGACTATTCAGAGGAGGTGTGATTTGTTTGTAGATGATCAAAGGACACTAAAATAATAAATTTAACTAGAGTCCACTTGGCTCACCCAGGACATCGTATCCGTGGGTGATCAAAGGCACACAATAAATTCAAAGTCACTAAATTGTCGCTGTAAGTCCACTTTGATCACCTGGCTGATCAAAGCCAGGTGATCAAAGTGGAATACACCTCCTTTTAGAACGTAGGTAGACACTAAGACGAAATTTTGCAAAATTCAACCCTTATGGGAGTTAAAAATGGGTTAGAAGTTTGTATTGCAGTCCTCGGTGTTTAAAGTAAGGGACTTGAAAGTTAAAATGTATGCTCACTATGATCTCTAGATATTGTGGAGGTGTACATATACTGTTCAGTACACTGTGGTACTGTGTACACATCGGTTTGCCGACGATATTGTGGTCATGGCAGAATCGTTGGAAGATCTTGGCACAATGCTCGAAGACCTTAATCGATTTTCCCAACAGGTAGGCCTGAGGATGAACATGGACAAATCGAAGCTTATGTCGAATGTCCATGTTGCGCCCTACCCAGTTTCAGTTGGGAGCTCAATTCTCGAGATTGTCGACAAGTAGGTATGTCTACCTCGGCCAAACGATCCAGCTAGGTAGGTCCAATTTCGAGAAGGAGGTCAATCGTCGAATCCAACTCGGCTGGGCAGCGTTCGGGAAACTATGCAACATTTTTTCGTCCAAAATACCTCAATGCCTGAAGACTAGAGTGTATAACCAATGTGTGTTACCAGTGATAACTTATATGGCTCGGAAACGTGGCCTCTCACTATAGTCCTTATACAGAAGCTCAGTTGCACAGCGTGCTAAGGAGAGGGCTATGCTTGGTGTTTCTTTGCGAGATCGAATCAGAAATGAGGAGATCCGTAAACGAACCAAAGACGCTGACATAGCCCGGTGTCAGGTCCGAGGATCGTGGTGGTCAAGCTACTGGACCACTCGTCCAATCCACTGTTCACCAAACGTATTATTCGCGCACTTGACGTCCTTATTGTGGGGGAGCACCATCCTGCTGCTAGTAGAGCATTGTTTGGTGTAACGCTAAGGGTACGTCATCAAGCATTTCGTCTAAGACGTCTTGCAGACACTCCAGGCACCATTTTGATTAAATTATTCGTTGTTTGAATACACTTCAGACATTTTTGTATAATTTATAACGTGATTTGTGATTGATGGATTTCTCAGTTTTTTACAAGTGTCAAAAAGACATTTTAAAGACAATAGATTGCAAATATTGCAATAGATATTTAAAAATGCAATAAAAAGTAAAAAAGTCTTCATCGCCATCGCCAACAAGCAACAAGTGATGTGCATGCGTTACGATAATTAGTGATGTGTTTAACAGATTGTCGATAAAATAAAATACTCAAGATTAAAAAAAAAATTTTCGGGCATTATTTTTTAACGGATTTGTGATCAGTATCAGTAATATAGTCACCTCTGTAAATATGGCAAGAATGCAAAGTAACACCCTGTATTTAGGCAGTTAAATACTGCACAGTATTTAGTACACCATTTTCTTTATGTTTTTCCATCATACCAGGCCTGTTCATCTCCGCGAGTTTACATCGAAAACAAAACACGCACGATGGCCCACCTACAGGACAAGGCATCACATACGAACGAACATTGACTCACGCACGCGTATTCTTGTGTATGATGGAAGAAAATCATGCTAAATCATGTATTTCCTCCGCCATTTTCCGCAGTTTGGCACCTCACGTCACATCATTTTACCGAAGTCAGCCATATAGCTTCGGCGCAGTGCCGATCACTGATGTTTGTCAACAAAATGGTGCTTGACTCTTGAGACAGGCTAAATTACACCATATTGTTAATGACATTGAGCATACATTTTTTTAAATACCTTCGCGAAGTAAAACTTCTGTACGTAGTACTTATTATTATTCTGTGATCATACACAAGAATACGCGTGCGTGAGTCACTGTTCGCTCGTATGTGAGGCCTTGTCGAATAGTATCCTGTAGGGTGCCATCGTGCTTGTTTTGTTTTCGATGTAAACTCGCGGTGATGAACAGGCCTGGTATTACGCCCATTATTCCTTTACGGGTATCAAACTAATTCATATTACTAGATTCAAAAAAGGCAGATGCACAAAACAAAATTAATCTAGAATAATAAGTTATTGCAAAGTTACAAAAGTTAATTTATTAATAAATGCTATAATTGCAAATCAAAATCTTTAGTATACTTACATATCACGCTAAGTGTTAGTCTCGTGTGCTTTTGGTACGCGTGACAATACATTCATGCAACTACTCAAAAGCAAACCAATGAAAACAACTGAATCGCGGCAAAAACTCTGAAAATCAAAACAATACAAAATAAATTAGGCAAACACTGTTTCGTACTATACAGGGTTATTTATAACTAGCTGACCCGGCGAACTTTGTTCCGCCCTAATGGCAATAAATAAGCAGACTTTTTTTTTATTTCGAACGGGATAAAAAGTAACCTATGTCCTTCTCCTGGCTCTAAACTACCTCCCTGACAATTTTCAGCTAAATCGGTTCAGCCGTTCTTGAGTTATAAGTGGAGTAACTAACACGACTTTCTTTTATATACAACGTGTCCCAAAATTCAAGGATAAGCCGGCGCCGCAGGGTGGACCTAGTCATGACTGCTTTAGGAAAAATAAGAAAAAAAATCTATCTCAATTATTTTTTAAGTTACACAATAAATTATGAAATTCGTCGAAAATTGACACCCCTTATGATATTTTACATTACCACGACTACAATTTTTCAAATACTTCAGTTTTTTTGTTTGTATCGGCAACTTAAGTAGTGCTGCTGTCCACCCCAATTCTTAAAACCCTCAGAATCCTTGCAGTTTTTACACAAAAGTTAATCAAAATATGNCCAAACTCGATAAGCTTCCGCCGTTTCGTTTAGGAGTTCCTATGGCCAGCTCCTGCCACCTCTTGACTTCATCATCAGGACCCTGAACATCGTCTAGCACTAAAGTGCTCGAAAAGACAAGTCCAACGAACCCAAACTAGATGTAATTCCGCCGTTTCGTTAAGAGTTCCTATGGCCACCTCCATACTCCATCCAGCTCAATGGTACCATAATATTGCATTGTCATCGTACTTACACAAGTATACCAAATTTCAGCTCAATTGGTTAAGGAGAACTGGTTTTAAATTCAGTTGCAAGATTTATCTCATACTAACTTACAAGCGAAATGCTTGTAAAAATGGTACGCATATCTTTTTTGCGGCTAGTTTTCTTAGAGTATTATACCATTTCGGAATCTTGAATAGTTGCGTCAACTTTATAAAAAACTTGCCGCAGTAGTGTTTATACTGTTTTTTTACAAAACGACGAGTCAAAGTGGAGTGTAAGTAAAAATCGTTCAAAATTTTAAGGAAATATCATATTTTGATTAACTTTTGTGTAAAAACTGCAAGGATTCTGAGGGTTTTAAGAATTGGGGTGGACAGCAGCACTACTTAAGTTGCCGATACAAACAAAAAAACTGAAGTATTTGAAAAATTGTAGTCGTGGTAATGTAAAATATCATAAGGGGTGTCATTTTTCGACGAATTTCATAATTTATTGTGTAACTTAAAAAATAATTGAGATAGATTTTTTTTCTTATTTTTCCTAAAGCAGTCATGACTATGTCCACCGTGCGGCGCCGGCTTATCCTTGAATTTTGGGACACGTTGTATATAGATTATATTTCGTTCATTTATTTATTTAAACTTTAATGCCAAAATAAATTTGTACATAAGGCGAACTTAATGCACCAAAGCGTTCTACGAATTTAACGTAAATTATTAAGTAACATAAAATATTTTTGAAGTTTTCATAGTACTGAACATTTATTAGTCTATGGCCCAGAACAGACAGTGAAACGCAACTGCAACGAAACTGCAACTTTCTGATGGATTCTTATGAATGAAACTGAAACTAAAAGTTTCAAACTTGTCAACTTACGCTATGGCAGAAACTTAGATGCAACTCAAAAGTAACTAGCAGTTGCAGTTTCGTTGCAGTTGCGTATCACCGTCTGTTCTGGGGCTATGTCTCATTTATAAACGATGTGACTGTTTGCTTATCCCATTTATACACATAAGTCTCACAAATTCAAATAACCCTGTATAAAAGTCATAAAATCATAATAATTAAATACTCGTTAATACATGCACTAATGCATAAAAATAGTAAATATAGTAGGTAACCGTGCAAAATTAATATTCGGCATGGTAGTAAAAAAATTCTAAGCACGAATCAGCCTCGCGTGCATGTTTATGCAGTTTTATTCATGTCCATCTCTTCAAGTAATAGGCAATTAATATTTTCCAATTTTTGACCTCTGTAATAGGTCTTCTGCTAATATTTATTTATTTATTTATTTATATTAGGGAAACAAACAATTTTGATATACAGACATATAATATTACTAGTATTAAATTTATTGCTTAAGCTTTTAGTTACTAGTTAGAGGTGATGTGAATGTATTTATTGAACTTTTGGCATTGCTTTCATATGCGGTCACAGACTAACAGACAGATGTCAAGATGTCTGTTACGATAGTGGTATGTACAAATTTTCCTAGAAAGTTTTTACTCTTCGCTATTACAAATTATCATTCGCATTTCAATTTATCATAGTACGTTCATAATGTTTATAGTATGTCGCTACAGCGGTAGAAAATATTTCTAGTAATATGACGTCACACATCAATGTGCACCTTTATTATTATTCTGTCTAATGGCTTCAATGGTGCGTATTTGAAGCACACTAGTTTTTGCAATGTCGAGTGTTTGGAGAAACATCTTGACACTTGTCTGTGTACAGCAAATTCATTAGGTTCTATTAAAAAAAAAAACAAAAGATAGCTAAAATTTTTCTTAAAAACGTACAACATACTCCATTCATACCTGAGTCAATCTCAAAGCCTTTCCCGGCGTCAGAGCCAGCACGGGCGGGTCATTGACCGGCGTTACGTTGACATGGAGCACGAAGGTGTTCCGACCTTGCAAGTAGCTTGGCAGCGTGAACTTACTCTCGGGAACCAACTCCATGTCTAAAACGATCGCGTCTTGGTGGTTCTCTGACCCGTCGTGGACGTAACGAACCTGGAATTATTAAAAGTAGTACTTAGAAGAAGAAAGAAAATAAGTTTATTTGGCAACAAAAGAAACGTCCACATACATAATTAAAAAAAATGACAATGAAAAGATCACCCATCCAGTATCATAATGACCGCATAGCTGAGCCGCTAGGCAAGGCAATTAGATTTTCTCAAGTTACTAGCTCAGCCCGCGACTTTGTACGCGTGAAAACCCGTTTTTGTATCATTTTTCATTGTTGCTCTGCTCCTATTAAGCGTATCGTGATGGTATATAGCCTATAGCTTTCCTCGATAAATGAGCTTTCTACTAACACTGAAAGAATTTTTCAAATCGGACCAGTAGTTCCTGAGATTAGCGCGTTCAAGTAAACAAACAGACACTCTTTAGCTTTATATTATTAGTATAGATAGTTTTTGCCGACAGAAAAGTCTAAGAGCCTATACGCTAAAACGTCTCTATCGAAAAATAGTATGAGACCGCAGGCGCGCAGGCGTAAGATAGGTTACGATACGCGCGGGAGTTAGGAGTAAGATCGTTAATTATTCAGTCAAATGAAAAGAAAAGAAAATCAATACGCATGGTTATATTTTCATATTCACTAAATGCAGAAATAAATAGTCAGGTACTATTGGGAACGTGCGAAGTGGGTGGAAGGGGTAAAGAAAACGATCGCTGCGCTCGTCGCGGCACAAATGTGTAACATTATGGGCAAGGGAAGCAAACAAACTTGTCTTGTCATTGTCAATGTTGTTTTGATTTTAATGTGATTGTGTTAATTTATTCAATTGTATTGATGATATTGTACATGTATGTTGTGTTTTAGTTAATTTACAGCCTCCAATCTTTTCCAAGAGTAATACTGTTGTAAAAGGTAAATAAAATTCAACTTTTGAAAAACATAACTGTTTTTTATTTTATAAAGTTCTGCACTTATATTATTATCATTATAATATTAAATTAACACTTTCTTATCAGTATCATTACTGCAACACATCCAAACATAAGAAGTTAGCATAAATTGGAGATATTTGACGTAATATAGATTGTGGTTCACAACAGTCAGTCTTAGATACTGATCCAAACATATCTTGAAAATAGCTCCCTTTGGAATATTTGCAAGCTACAAATTGACGAATAATGGGTTCTCCCCATTGTTGTTCAATGCTCGTTTTTAAATTACTAACTTTGTTGTTAATGTTGTAACATATTAAAGCAGCAACATATTTGCACTTGCCACTCTGGTTATAAACGAAGTTGCATTTTACTCCTGTGACAACCCTAGCATGATCGATCTGTATTAAATGCAATGAATATTAATTGTATAACTTTCTCTAAATCTTTAGTCATATTTTTAGGTTAGGAGATTACTTACGTTTAAACTTGTTTTATAGGGTGTCGAGGTCACCGATGTTTGACGAATGATGGTGGCTCAATAAATAACTATTGCCATTAGTTCTCAGCTCTTCTACATTCCTCACATGCTCTGCTAGCACCAATTTTTTTTTCCTTTTAGCTGAGTTTGGGGTTGGAAACTTATTGTGTGTTTTACACACTCAAAACCAGTTTTTATAATGACGTCCATTTCTCCATAAACAGTTTTTATTAAATTCCATTCAACGTACCATTTATTGTGTTTTAAAAGTATATTTTATTTACTCTAATCAATAAAAATAAGAAAGCTGTTGTTATTTATTTTTTGACATATGCCCCTTAAAGTTTCGTTGGCAGATGGCGCTAATGTCGTGCACGTTCCCAATAAAATATAGCGATGTCTAATTTTATAACAATTTTTTCTTATAAAAGTTTTACGGCTTTGGAACAGATCCATACGGCATTTTATAACTATTTAACTAATAAAGCCCGGTCTGTGAGCACGTAGAATTTTGTCCAATGACCCCAAGCTACCCATCCTTATCGCTCGCGCGTAATCATATTGCTGTCGCGACTGTGCGACGGGCGGCCGCAATGAGTGTGCGAGCGCGACAGCAACATAATTACGCGCGAGCAATAAGGATGGGTAGCTTGGGGTCATTGGACAAAATTCTACGTGCTCACAGACCAGACTATAGTGCAGCTCCTTTTCACAATCTGAAGGCTGTAGCCGTATAAACTATTGAATAAATCCTTTTTAAACAACACTAATCTCACCTTGTCTCTAGTGAGGTCTAGCAGCGTGAACAGCTGTCGTGGTTTGCCCTCGCTTTCAGCGTAACTGGTATGGCTTCTCTGCAGCGACAGCTCCACTGCTATCCGGCCGTGTTGCGGCGGCGAGGCGACGTGTAGCACCACGCCCGATGGTCTCACGCCATACTTGTGGTGGTCTAACACCACGTCGATGTTCTGTGTGGTGATAACGGCTACCCCGCCTTCTTGCACTGTTAGCGGGTAGAGCGCGACTAGTTCCAGCTCACTGCTTGATCTTGAAAACACCTGAAGATGGAGTTAACGATTATGAAGATGTTGCATGTAAATTAGGAAAGACATATTAATCTTCTATTAGAGTAACTTACATTCATCAACACACAATTGAAATGAGGTAAAATTCTCAGCATAATAGGGATGATAACTGGGTAATGAAATCGAAATTCTATTTAACTAAATAGAATTTCGATTTCATTACCCCATTTCATAAAAAAATGTTGGACACATATTTTTGATTTTTTTTCATAATCCAATAATTACAGTATTGAGTTGAAACATCACGTGACGTCACTTATGAGTAAAAATTATATTCAAGCGTGACATAACGCGCCATTTCAACTCGATGTAGCACTGTTATTATTTAATTGTGTAAGAAAATAAAAAATATGAGTCTAATATTTTCTAATTATCTGTCTGACGGACAAATAATTGAAATTTTGTCATCTAGCTTATTATACCATTTTTATCCTCTGATGACCTTTACTAACCTTGTACTTCTCAGCATAGTCCGGGTTGATGCACAAATCAGAGTCACATTTACAAGTGAAGTGGTCTACTCCATGCTGTTCACACACTGCCCGGGGCACGCAAGGCGGGCTGCCCGGGCTCGAATGGCAGGGGTACCACCACACGCACTTCGGGCTCACTCCGTAAGTCACCACTGCGTTGGGAAGCCCGTATATCTTCTCATCCACTTCTACAGGTTTGATGCAGCCCTGAAAGATTAAAGTTTTGCTATTTCATGCAACCATGTTGTAAGACCTGTAAGTAATGCCAATCCGCTTCTAGGAAGATGATAGACAGCCCTGTGATATTTTGCCAACCTATTCTAGCGCATCATATTCAAAGGAAGAAAAATGCCTTGTATTATAAACAAAGTTTACATGGGAACGTCGACGTCAACAGTAAAAGTCAAGGGCACAGACTAATAGATACTGACAAGAACAATAATCATAAACTTGAAATTCACACTAACTTGAAATTAAGTTTTCAACAGCAAAAGCATGAGTACACCAAACAGAAAATCACACAAGTGTGTCACAAAATGAACATGGACAAGACCAAATGAGACGTGGGCGTGAGACCGAACTATGTCAAAGGGCGATGGATCGTGCTAAGCTCAGATTTTTCAATGTAATCTAGACATAGCAATAGCCCGTAGAATCGCCATACTTAAGGGTCTTATCATAGCGGTTTGCGAGCGGATGCGGGGCGGGACGGACGCGCAACAAATGGGTCGCAAACACGCTGCGGCTGAATAGCGAGAAAATCGCGGACGTGTCATGTGCCAGATACGTAACGTCTTCGTCGCGCGATTGTAGCGACTTAACGACGTACAATTTACTCCATAAGAAAATGGATACCGACGAGGAAACACTGCTGTTGGCTTTGTTACTTCGAAACGAAAGCTTAGACGAATTTGGGAGGATCCGTTAACAATTACCCGAATGGAAGAGAGCGACTATTTAGCGACAACAAAATGGCATCCACGCTGCTATTCACACAAAGCCATCTTGTTGCGCTTCCGCGATGAATTCACCGCGAATGCGTGACGTGTTCGTTGCGCAGTTACGCGCCCGCAACGGTTTCGTTGCACGCCCGCTCCGCTTTAAGGACGCTCGCAAGCGTATGACAAAGCACTAAGTGACAGTGGGTGGTGCCATAAAGTTAATATACCTAGCGGATTAGAACAGCAAAGAACTGAGCGAGCGAGATGTGATTAGCAGCAACACTGTATGTTAAAAAGAGATGCGTGATGCCATCGCCGTCAAGTCAAACAGAACCGTCTTTTGCATTTATTTGACAGTTCAGAGGCACTTATTAGCAGGCTGAAAATTTGAACTCTGAGATATTTTCAGATTCTACGTGAGTGAAATCGTGGATGTTTATGAGAAATAATAGTGCTTCAGAAACGTGTTGACTGGTTCAGTGATTGATTTATGACAAACAAAACAGTGAAATTTAATCTGACACTGACACATAAATGATATCCAGTGTCATCCAAAATCGGTTCCGTTTGACAGCTCGTGGTTGTTACTCTATTCCGAAGAAATATTAACTTTATGGGTGGGTCGTTTGGTTTGATAAAGATAGAGCCGATGGCCCGACGATCTGGTGAAGTTCGCGGATAAACGGGACTATTCCCACCTCTCGTTCCCACCGCTGCAACTCCTGTGTAGCCAGGATCAGCTTGACCGCCAATAAAAACCCAACCAATGAAGGTCGTTTATCCTAGGGGAAAGTTAAACTGACATTGGACCCGCAACGAAATTAATCAGAAGAACATAGGAGGAGTTCGAAGCCTTTATCCAAAAGTGGACTTGGTTAAAACGACCAAACGATATAATGTGACTTGTAATGCACACTGATACATACCATGATACTAGAATCCGCAGCTTTTATCCCTTTAGCGAACGCTCGTTGTCGTTTCTCACTCTCTATCCCGCCGAGATAGAAAGAGTCGGATAGATCGAGATATCTCGTGCCGCCGCTCTCGATTCGTGTGCTCATTGCTACGTTGTCCACAGACAGCTGAAATGGGAATATGACTTGTGACCGTCTAATGGCGCTTTGTTTAAAAAAAAGAAAGAAGAACAGAAGGGATATGTGAAAAAACAAAGAGCAGAAAGGTTTATTATGTCGCCTTGAGCATGTTAGCGTTAGTCTGTCGTAAATTAAAATAACAATTCGTCTCTTGCAGTCAATAATTTGTGCTGAAGGCCCTTATGCTACTTAATCGCATCAGACTTTTACGAAAATTCTCTGATTTGTTCAAATACGAACTAGCGAACTTTTCCTTTACAATAATGCTGATATTAGCTTTTGCCCGCGGCTTCGCTCGCGTAATATTCAGTTTATCATAAATTATTAGGAAAGCCTATATTTTATTCTTAAATAAAAACATTATACTGTACTTTTCAGTCGTTTCTGTGTGAGAGGTTTTAGATAATCATAATTATTATTTTCTGAATATTCAAATGTGACTGCAGTCGCATGGTCAAATAGGTAAACCAAGCAAATAAAGCAAACATTTCGCACATGTTTTTTTGCACAAATAATTATAGTCTATCGCTTTTGAAAATTCTTCGCAAGCAGTTCAGCCTTCAGAAAATAGGATTTTTAGGGAACAATTTCTCAGACAATTTCTGCAGAGGTTGTAGGATGAAACCAGTGAAGTTTGGGTAGGCTCCATGGAAACTTTACGCATGCTATAATTTTAATCAGTTTTCTTTAGGCCAATGGACTAAAGAAAACTTTGTTTAGGACTTTTACAGCTTGTTGTACAGGCTTTTTGTCACTGTCGTCTATGTTAGCATCTCACTTTGAGTATAGAGATAGACAGACTCGTGCTACTAAGTATAAGCTTTCCTATAACTGACAGTAATATTTTCAATTTTGAGTGCTGAGCATGTTATCATTTTAATAGGTCTTGCTTTGCATTAGAAATAGTATACATATACTATTTCAGCATTCGCGTAGCTTACACAACAATCGCAGAGAGCATAACGCAGTCGCCTTGCTTGCTTGCTTTGCATAAACATACACAGTTAAATCAATAAAAGTAAAATAACACAGCAAGGAAATTAAAATCATAAGCAACAAAAAATGCATAGCCACAATTGCAAATCATAGTAACAAAAAAATAAGTTTAAAACAATCATCATTATCATCATCATTTCAGCCATAGGACGTCCACTGCTGAACATAGGCCTCCCCCAATGCTTTCCATGTTGATCGATTGGTAGCGGCCTGCGTCCAGCGCTTCCCTGCTACCTTTACGATGTCGTCGAGTTTAAAACAATATTCGACTTCAATCAAGCAGCAGCAATAAATACAAGTCAATAGGGAAATATCAAGTGGTATTTATTACATTTGAGAAAAAATTACCTCAATAAGGGATGGGTTGAAAGACAAGTGCATTTTGTGCCACTGTCCGTCGCTGACTCTGAGCGTGTGGACAATTTGTCCTCTGGCCATCTTTACGCGCACCACTCCTTCCAATATTTCCACGGCAAGAAAGTCCGAACCGCGACCTCCCCCAGGATTGTACAGCACAATGGCGTTTTGAGTTATTGTCTTGAATTCTATGTGCCATCTGGAAATACAAGAAGGCTGATTAGAAACAAAAACTCATCAAAAATTCATAATGAGGGCTATCGTTTTTATACTTAAGGCTTGGTATTTCTTCTAAAGTAGGTATTTCGCGCTGTCAAAATCTGCGCGCGCAATTCTTCGCCGAAAACAGCGCGTCAAAGAGCTCCCGCCACAATTTCCAGCTACACAGTATAGAAATACGCAGTTGGTTAGGTTAGGTTGACTTCCTTCCCTTCAAGCGTCACACTCACAACACTTTCTAATAGAAATCATATCCAAGTGATACAAATTAAAACACCTTTCAGACTTTTTGGGAATATATTCTAGAATCGAATAAATATAAAATATAACTGCATAAGTAAACACTGTTCAAAGTGGCCGTGGCGTCGCCCGACCTTCTGGAAGTTCTGCGCCGGCTTAAAGAATTTCAAGATTACGTCACCCGACCTATCGGTAGGCCCTTGGGAGCTTGAGCGATTGGAATTTTTTTTTATGACAAGTTACTCTTAGTAGCGATTATTTAGAGCTTGGATAATAAATTTAATTATAGTTGTTGCAATTCACGAAGCTTTGCATGTGGTTAATAACATTAATCAGTATAGGTACGCATCAATTTTGTTCAGTCTCTTTGTTTATTAATAAATAAAAATATCATACTAAAATTGCACCCCCCCCCCCCCCCCCCCCCTCCCTCCCTACGGGCGGCAAATCTGTAAATCTGCCACTGGTTAAAAATGTTCTTAAACTTGCGTGTCAAACAGTCAACAGTGTCTTATACATTACATCTAGATTTGGACTCTTAAAATGTGTGAATTTGTGAATGTGTATGACGTATGTAGATAAGATTACATAGTGTCGTCCTTGCATGTAGGATGGTGATGCGAATATATTGCGGATTAGTATGATAATATCATATATTTTATGATCAATACGGCCGCCCGGCCTTGAGATTCATATATCCAGACATAAAGTAAAATTAACACAAATTCTATCTGTGGAAGGCGTTACATGTAACGCCACAGTGCTGTTGTTAACGCGACTATGAGATTATAGATATTTATACATTACATATACTGACTTCAGTCAACAGCAACTCATTACGTCATGACTGATCAAACACAATATAGATCGTTTCATCCACGAAGACGCGCCCAACCATTCTTCCGCTAATGTTTGAGTGTTATCGGTACACGCTAAATCATCGGACAAACTCCCCGTGCTTCCCCCGGGTTTAAAATTGGTGGGGCGCGTCTTCGTGGATGAAACGATCTATTAGAAGACAAAATCCTTACCGTCCTCCAGCCCTGGAGTTGATCTTAGGGAGTATAAGATAGGCTCCTTCGTCCACGAAACTGATGTCAGAGTTGAGATCAGCATCAAACTCAGGCGCGCAGTTCCAAGTGACTCCTTCAACATGTACTGATCCACTTCTACTTCTGGCTTTCTCCAAAATCTTTACGCTGTTGTAATATACCTGTGGATTGTGAAATAGTATTGATTCTATATCTGCTATTTTGTCTCTGTTTTCTGCTGTTTTAAAAAATTTAGAATTTATTTACCAGCAATGAAAACCTCGATTTAAAAATTAATAGATAAACATGCTGCTTTATCATAAAAAAAACTACATTGATTTCATCCAAGCTACAATTTGACCTAAAAAAATGCTTATCAGTGGTAAACACAATTTTATTTCTCATTCAACAACATGTTTATGTTGTTGTTACAATGAAACAAATAAAATTATATTGCACCATCATCAGGGCAGTTAAATTATAATGATTGGAGATTGAACAAAAACAATACGACAAATCATACGCACATCTTCCATGCAGCCGCGGAAATTCTCCATATGACCAAGAAATAGTTCAGAAAAATCTCCCTGTCCTCCCAAAAATATTCCAAAGTGTATGTTCAGCTCAAAAAATCTGCCAGGAAGCTTCTTTTTAACTGCACTGTCATCAACCTGAAAAAATATGACAGAAACAATAAATTGATTGTTATTATGTACGTTACTAATGAGATTTACAGCCTGTGTCCATGTGTGGTATACACACACTTTTAGATCATCACATATTTGGGTCATGACTGTCATGGACAGAAAAAGATTGTTTGGTTACATTTGGTTTCAGTTTTGATATACAGCCTATAAATTAGTTCAGTTGATTTCATCAAGTCTTCTCATGATTTTTTAATATTGGAGAAAAAATGAATAGAAATTAAATAGGAATCTTGTTCTGAAGAATGCACTTTCCACCTCCAGAGAATACCTCATTTACACCTCCAGAGAATGAGCATGAAGCACCATCTACATTTTTAATGTTAAAACATGAATCACCATCAGAGGACTTAATAAAATTATTATGCTACTTACCTTCATTGTCAAGTTGGCTTCCCGTCGAATGATGCTGACATGGTGCCATTGGGAATCGTTGAGAAACAAGCCTTTAACGGATGACAACTCACTCTCGCCAGCACCCAGGTTTATGTGCAGTTTTAATCTGCCACTTTCCAAACGGATCTAAAAGGATAAGCATACATCTTCTACACTCTAGCACGATTATAACATCTTGATAAACTCAGATCTATGTTGTGTCATCAGTGTTTCTTATTTAGGTAAGTAATAATAGATAAATAAATTATTGAGTATTGAAAACAAAATTGTACAAGGCACTTAGAATGAAGAAAAACTTTAAGCCTTTGTGGCCAACAATAAAATAAAGTCAGCAGACGCAGAAAGGCACAATTACTAGAGAGAACTAAAATAATATAAAAATTACAAAATACAGTGTGAGTCACGTTAAAGTGTACATATGAAAATAGATGAAACTAGACCTATTTTTATCGACAAAAAAGTGGTCAAAAATTTTTGAGTTTTTTTTTTAATTTTTTATAGAATTTTTTTTCTACTAATTACTTATTGTAAAGAAAACGTAATAAATTTTAAACTAAGCAGTATATCCTGATAAAATAAAAACAGTAATAATGCTAAATAACAGGCGATACTAAAAAAATACATACAATACACAAAAAATGCCAACAAATAATAAAAAATGATACTTTTTGAAAAAAATCTGCTTAAAAATTCGTGTTTTTTTGGTTATTTGATAAATTTCTCCGAAAAATGCCCCTATAACAGGTGGTTTTTATTGTTTTGTATTATTCTCTATTGTATTACCTTTGTAAAACCAAAAATTGCATGTCTCTATCCCTATCACAACATTTGCTATGATCGTTTGAACTAAGCCTCTCTGGGCGCGCTATTCAACGCTTTGTTAACAACGAAACTGAAAATGGCTCAAGATTTCAAGTAAAAACAAAAGATTTCGAAGTAAAATAAGCATTTTAGTTAAAATTAAAATTGTCCCTACCTGTAGAGGAGAATAATGTTGTGGTAGGCCTTTGTTCAAACTATCATAGCAAATGTTGTGATAAGGATAGGGACATGCAATTTTTGGTTTTACAAAGATAATACGATAGAAAATAATACACAACAATAAAAACTACCTGTTATAGGGGCATTTTTTGGAAAAAATTATCAAATAACCAAAAAAACACGAATTTTTAAGCAGATTTTTTTCAAAAAGTATCATTTTTTATTACTTATTGGCATTTTTTGTGTATTGTATGTATTTTTTTAGTATCGCCTGTTATTTAGCATTATTTCTGTTTTTATTATATCAGGATATACCGGTTAGTTTAAAAGTTATTACGTTTTCTTTACAAAAAGTAATTGGAAGAAAAAAAATTCTATAAAAAATTAAAAAAAAATCTCAAAAATTTTTTGACCTCTTTTTTGTCGATAAAAATAGGTCTAGTTTCATCTATTTTCATATGTACACTTTAACGTGACTCACACTGTATAACATTCCTTACCATGCAGTAATCCGTCTTCCCAGCAGCTAGCAGTAACAAGGCATCAGACAGATGGGTTCGGAAACGGAAACTTATATCTGTTAAACCTTTGGCCTCTTGTAAAGGGTAGGATATAAAACTGGCCCCATAAAAGGAAGCTAAAACAAATAAAACTTTTAAAAAGAGAGTAAGCAGCTATACTAAAAGTACAAACAACAAAGTTTTATAACCAAATCTACACAAATACTGATGATAATATTAATAATTGATGGTGATTCATAATCTTACAAACAGGCATAGCATGTGCATTGATAAATAGTAGAGATGAAACGGATATCCGGTAACTATCCGGTAGGCCGGATATCCGGTCTAAATTTACTATCCGGCCGGATACCGGATAGTAACTCACTATCCGGCCGGATACCGGATATTAAAAATTTACGACAATTTCCTATTAATAAAATGAAATACATTAATCTTTGAGGTAAACATCAATAAAATGGCTTATAATGACGGCTTTTATTTAAAGTCCACAAAGTTACAAAAAAGCCATATTAATGTAATTAAAAAAACTAATTTCTTTTTTGGGCTATTCACTCTAATGACGAATACATAAATAGTAAATATCTGTTAATGTGGAAATAATGCCAAATAAAATAGGCGATCTTTTTTTCACTGATGGTCTGATGTCATGATGCATTACAGTCAGAGCCCCGATTACGGTAACTTTTAACGTTTCCAATCCAGACGCGCTTCATCGATTCTGCGATACGATTGGTCAAAACAGCTGACGTACGCTGTTGAACGACCAATCGTATCGCAGAATCGAGAAGCGTGTCTGGATTGGAGACGTTAAAAATTACCGTAATCGGGGCTCAGATTACGCAGCAAGTTAACTAATTTAATTTTCGCTGTTCAATCACACACTCACGATGGCAACCGAAATCGCCCGAATTGATCTGCCCCCTAGACAACTTGTCTAAGACAAGTGGCAAAATCTGAGATTATATTCGGACTGATTCGATTTTCGAAAAGTGTGACTAGTCTAGTCTACTAATAGACCCACTGATTGCGTTTGAAGCACCTGTGCGGCGCTAAACTCGTCACGACATGCAACAAGCCAATGGGCCAACTATCCGGCCGCCGGATATCCGGCTATCCGGCCACCTGCTAGGCCGTCGGTATCCGGCCAAACAACTATCCGTTTCATCTCTAATAAATAGTAAGAATGTGAACCCCTTCATAATTACAAGTTTAATGAATGGGTTGTTACATTATACTCAATACTCAATACGTTTATTGCTTCCTTAATAGTACATTTAGGTGTTACATAGTTATATTTGGAGATCATTAAAGACCCTGTTGGGCGCTGCAAACTAAAAATTTATAAGAGAGGAGGCTTCTTTTTATCATAGATAGAAAATTATAGTTTAGGTACATCGCTAATCAACTACAGCCATATTACAATATATCTTCTGTGATATCTAAGAGTAACAAAAATACTTCTGTGCATCATTTGATAAATACTACTGTATAGCTGGATATCAACAACATCAACAGTGGGCTAGTAGGTTGTTGTAATCTGTTTCCTTGCAACCGCATTCTTTTTCGAAAAGAAATCGCAACATTAGCATTAATATTCTTACCTTTATCATACGCAAGTCCCGCAGAAAGGAAGGATAAAATTAGAATTAGTTCCATTATAGAACAAAGACGAAATCTTGAAACAAAATTATCCATCATTCTTGACTAAAACATGTTACATTCAAGGTTTTGATGTAAGTCTAAACAAAAATATATTTCTTGATCTTTTGTGCAGACGATCATTGGAGACATCTCAGGAAATCAACAAGCCAGGCGTGGCGGCCCTAAGATGCAATGCTAATTAAAGGGCAAACAAGCATAATGCCCTGAATGAGTTTGTTTTTCCCCAGTTCTCAATAAATTGCCAAATGACTGTAACTGTCCGTAACAATGCTTTATCATAGAAGAAACAAAATTATTAAACCCGGAAAATAATTACACACACATGAATGCACATCATTTTAGCATGAAGAAACCAAGAAACTTCAACATTTCACAAGAAAACCATATTTGACGTTTAAATCACCATTCGTTCGCCGTTCATTCCAATATCATAGACTAGGATTTGCTCGGGATGGAATGGCTTTGTTAGAGCCAAAGATGATATAATTTATTATAATTACAAAACAAACTAGGTGTACTACAACCATTACTTTAAAAACTGGCAAAGGAAAGTCAACATTAAAAAAAAATTAAATGAGAGATTTTATGCGAAGGGAAGTCAACAATAAAAAATTTAACCTTTTAATTAATTAACCTCTAAACCAATTATGATGAGTATGAGTGTTAAAATTTTACGAACTACCTATATTATTTTTGTACCTAACTATGTTAATTTGTCGTAAAATCAATTTGAAAGTTTTATGCGATCTGAAAATTTTTTGATTAATAATTAGAGAATTACCTACTAGATATAAAGTCAAAATGTTAGTATGTGAGTGTACCTATCTACTATTTTATTAAAATAAAAAAAAAAACAATCAGTCTAAATGTTTTAGTCATCGAGTTAATAAATTAATGTAGGATTGTAACATCTATGGCGTAAATACTCTATTGTCTTAAACTCTTTGGATGAACGCACGAGTGTGAGCGAGACGAATGTATGGAGAGTGAGTGAGAAGGAAGGAGAGGGGTCATGGCGGCAAGACGGTTATGAGTAAGTGTGGCTCTGTATTTTATAAAAGAAGAATAAACATATTGTTGGAAGAAACTGATTTTCCTTGCGAAGCCCCGTCCCTACAAATTTTGGGGGCTCGTCCGGGATAATTATCTTCGCGGTGGACNGTAATTGAAGATTTAATAGATAAATTAAAAGATGCCAAAGTGTTCAGCGTGTTAGATTTAAAAAACGGGTTCTTTCACCTGAGAGTAAGTGAAGAGTCGGTAAAGTATACATCTTTTGTTACGCACAATGGACAATATGAGTTTTTAAGGGCTCCTTTCGGTTTAAGCATTTGTCCGAAGTCACTGGAAAAAGAGATCATAAAACAAGTTCATGATAAAGGACATTTTTCTATGAAAAAGATGAAGGAGATAATTAAACAAGACTATTACATACAAGACTTAGAAAAGAAGTTGCAAGAGTTTGTGGTTACCTGCATACCTTGTCTTATGGCAACTAAGAAGGCTGGGAAACAAGAAGGCTATTTGAACCCAATAGATAAAGAAGGTATTCCCTTACACACACTTCATATAGATCATGTAGGACCATTGACAGACACGAAGAAACAGTACAACCACATTTTGACAATAGTAGATGGATTCACCAAGTTCACATGGATATTTCCAACTAAGAGTACAACGAGTAAAGAGACAATTGAGAAGCTGAAGATGCACCAACAGCATTTTGGAAATCCTGTAAGAATAATAAGTGACAGAGGAACAGCATTCACCGGGGGTGAATTTCAAGATTATTGCAAAGAAGAGAATATTCAACATGTTACCATCACGACGGGTGTACCAAGAGGAAATGGACAGGTAGAAAGACTACATAGGACTATTTTGGCTGTGTTGACCAAGTTGTGTATAGAACATCCATCATTATGGTACAAGCACATCAGCCGAGTGCAGAGGGCTATAAATAGTACCTACCAGCGTAGCATAGACACGACTCCATTTCACCTGATGGTTGGTATAAACATGAGATGTAAAGAAGACCTGGAAATATTGGATTTACTAAGACAAGAAGAGATTGATCAATATGATGAACAAAGAGAAGACATTAGAATGAAAGCTAAGCAGCAAATACTTCAGGTACAGGAGGAAAATAGGAAGACTTTCAATGAGAAGAGGAAACCAAGTTCTCAATACAAAGAAGGAGATTTGGTGGCCATAAAGAGGACTCAGTATGGACCGGGTTTGAAGCTGAAACCTAAGTATCTAGGACCGTACCGGGTGACGAAGGTTAAGCGGAAAGATCGTTACGACGTAGAGAAGGTGGATACTGCTGCTGAAGGGCCTAATAAGACGTCCAGCTCAGCTGATCAAATGAAGCCGTGGCCTAATTAGGTAAAGTATCTTGCTATTTAAATAAGAGGTGATGAATGAAAGGATTTGTAAATTAAAAACCATTTTTATTACGATTGTTACGGTCATTCATTATTGTATATTTTATTTCACTTAAATGTAAAGTTTATTGTAGTTAATGTTTCACTAACTGTTTAATTTTATAGATGAACAATGTTACAGTTTTGGTGTGTTTAAAACTTGAATATCTTAAGACTTGATATTGAGTAACCTGAAATTAAAGATTTCGAATTATTTCTATAAGATTAATAAATAAGATGATATACACTATCTTAGATGTAAAGTGTTTAAGATTAAGTTGAAAGATTGATTTATAATAAGATGATAACTGTAAAATGTGTAAAAATGTAAAATGAGATGTGTACTATGTAAGGAGTCAAAAATCTAAAATGTTAAGGATTTCATGTAAATTGTTTAAGAGTAGTTTACCGTTAGATGCTCAATTTAAGTAGTTATTTACAAAGTATGTTTTGTGTAAGAAGTTTAAAGTTAAGTGTTTGAGAGTTTGAGTTTTAAACTATTGGATGTTTGAATAAGTTTTTATTTACAAAGTTAGCTATGTATAAAGTTTAAGATGTTGTTGTTAGGAATTAATGTAACTAAAGTTTAATGAGTTGAGTATTTACAAAGTTTAATGATGTTTAATGAAAGTTAGTGTTTGTAGCCTAAGATTGTCTGAGGACAGACAAAGACAGGATTGCCGAGAGTGTAGGATTGTAACATCTATGGCGTAAATACTCTATTGTCTTAAACTCTTTGGATGAACGCACGAGTGTGAGCGAGACGAATGTATGGAGAGTGAGTGAGAAGGAAGGAGAGGGGTCATGGCGGCAAGACGGTTATGAGTAAGTGTGGCTCTGTATTTTATAAAAGAAGAATAAACATATTGTTGGAAGAAACTGATTTTCCTTGCGAAGCCCCGTCCCTACATTAATTATGAACTAGGTAAGTGTTGGAATTCATAAATAGACTTTTTAGTATTATCATTTATTATGATTTAGTTTTTCTTACAATAGGTACCTACACTGTAGGTATAATGTTTGACATAAAATATTATTATAAATACGCACATTCATCATGAAGCAAATTATTTTCGTCTTCTAAATTAAAAATTTCATCTAATAGCGTATCCAAATTACTAAGGTTCCAGTTCTCTTTATTTTTCAATTTAGATAAATAATCGGTTTGCTTGAAGTTCGATATAAAATCATATGGTGTGATAGTTTTGCGCTTTGATTGAGTCGGCGAATCCTCAATACAGTCATCGTTTTTAATAGAAATATAATTATCAAACATTTCCCCAATCAGTTCAGCATCACTTGTTGATGTGATCTTATCTATAATAACATTTCGATCAACTATGTCACTGTTGTCAAACGACATCATATCGCTATCGAAACCCATAGGATCACTTGCAATATTTAGTTCAAAATTTTGCAACTGATCAGGCATAGTAGAACTTGAAAAATCTGTAATTGAAGGTATTTCATATTTGTAATAATCCAAAATAGACATAATATCTTTGGATATAGCATATGCCTGTTCCATTACTGTTGTATTATATTCTTCATTTAGGCACTCAACTAAAACGTCCAAACATCCGATGGAAGACAAAGAGTCCATTATGCATGTAAGCTGTCTCGTAATCTCGGCATTATTCAAAGTGATTATCTTTCTCTTTTCTTTTGAAAATGTCATTGCAGGAAACTTCCCGTCGATCATGCCTCTATCTGATAGAAGTGATTGAATAACTTGTTTCCAAAAGTTTAACGCCGATAGTTGGACTTCCCAATGCAAGTCATCAATAGCTGATATTGTCATTTTGCTGTAGAGACATTTAATAAACGATTTTGGAAGTCTCTGATGCACATACAGTTCTGTTAAAACATTTATTGCTTCCATTCTAACCATCCCCTCAGGATTATGGCATATTACACATAGTAATTGCTTCTGGAAATACAGAAATTATATCATTATTACATTATTGTAACGGTGTTGGATTTATTTTATTTTAAGTCTAGGTACTATTAAATTAAATCAAATAAGTGATTAGATCGAATAAAATAATGATTCAGGAAATTTCAAAGATGTATTAATTTTTCCATGTCTTCGAATTTGATGAGTACCTTATACAAGTAATATGATGTAAGTACATACATATAGATGAGGATGCACCAATAGAACTTCTCTCCAAATACTTTCTATTCTGGCGGCTGAAGCTAGACATTTCATAGCGCTGGCCTGAACATAGTATTCGTTATCATCAATAACTATTCTAGCAGCTTCTGCTATAAGACTATTTTGTAAAATTAACTTTTGTAGCGGAACATACTCTGAAAGAATACAAAAACATAAGAACACATTAGCGTGGCAATATCTACGTAACATAAAATTGTTTTTAGTTTACCTGACCTGTAATTTGATAAAAGAAAAACAACGCAAATTACTACTTACTTACGTAAGCAACGTCTGTACAACTCAATACTATTTGTAACGCAGAATCTCTGATTTCCCATTCTTCGTGATACATAAACGATCTGACAACTTTTCCTATTTCGTTCAGTGTGCTCCCATTTTTACTTTCTACCAGAAGTGATAAATCTGGTGATAAGAAATTTTTGATGCTCAAGTCGATCAAATTTAGAGCCTGAATCAAAAGCTGAAACAATAAAACATTACTTCAATCTACTAATCTTTTTCGCCGGAAGACGTAGCGTGGGCAGGCCTCCCTCTAGGTGGACCGACGATCTGGTGAAGGTAGCGGGAGGTGCCTGGATGCGAACGGCGCAGGACCGGTCTTTGTAGAAATCCTTGAGGGAGGCCTTTATCCAGCAGTGGATGTCTTTCGGCTGAAACGAACGAACGAACTAATCTTTTTCATAATAGGTGAGTAAGTGTGATCTATTGTTAACAACAAATTAATATTATTGTTCTTACCTTGGTCGGCAGAATATTATTATGCAATACATTCATTATGGTATTTTGATAACAAATGATTTCTAGACTGTCGTACCAATTGATTTGGTGCTCTTTAAGGAGTTTAAACATGAAATCGAAGACGAACGATAAAATCTTTGTGTCTTCCACAGAAGTCAATGGGGTTCTGTTTGGAATCAAACTTCCTGATCCATCAGTGGCCACATGACAGTCTAGTGCGTAATACAGCGACTGGTATACAATTCCTGCTTGTGCTACGTTCAGGTATCCCTTTAGTTTAAACGCTTCTCTGAGAGCTAATAAGCAATTCTTTTTTATATCAGTCGATTCCAAAAGTGTTTTGTACTTAAAATATAATTTAACGATATGTTCTGTTGATATTGCGGTAAATTTAAAATAAAATGTATCGACAAAAGTGTCTTTTTTACTGTAATGTGCGGCGTAAGTAAGTATGGGAACAACCGCAAGCAATACAAGTTGATTCCGCATATCAAACGTATGCCCATTAATATCGAATGTCTGTGAGATACCATCCACGCTCTCAAGCTTAGACCAATACATAATGCATTTTATTGTAAAATTTATTAGTACTGTCACCATTCGCTGGCTAATTAAAAAATTTATGATATTATTATATGCTGCTAGAACATCATTTAAAAAGTCACTGTTTGTTTTTCCGTGTGCCATCATGTTATCTCTGGCTGACGCAACAAAAAAACGAAAAATACATTCTACAAGAATTATTTGTACGTCATCATCTCTAGTCGCTTGAGACAGGAAGTGCAAATGGCCTTGTACGATATAAGTTCGGTTTAGTAGCTGCATCACTCTACTTGGTTTCATAAGATTTGGTATATCATCGAAAATAGCTAAGAAAGCATGTAAAAATGATAACACTTGATCTGCCTTCTCTTTCTCATTTCCAACCTCAATTGTCGTTAATTGGTGATTATTCATAAAAGGGCTCAGTATGTATTGCAATAATTCCTCTAAAGCGTGCTCTTCTTCATATGTATTTAGCTTCCAAACTAGCTGGGATATAAAACTGTAAATGCTTCTGGCCACAGGTGCTGGTTTGTGATGAGTCTTTGGTCGCAGTATATGTATCCATGCTTTCGTTTCAACTATTGTTGCTATTCCTGGACTATGAATAATCTGTGCTGTTGGTAGCTTTGTAAATGCTAATTGGTAGGCAGGTGTTGTAGCACCCTCACTCAATAAACTCAATTTTGCTACCATAGTTTGAAACCCATGTAAATACAATAGCTTACAATATTGTAGCTCATTCTTGACGAGAACAGTCACAATTTCAACAAGGAATGTTTTTATAGCTGTGCATGGAATTTGCTCCACATTCAGTAATGCACATAATACCAGGTCTGAAAAAAATGCTGTTTCCAATAGTTGTTTTTCAATGCCTGGAAAAAAGGCTTAAGTTTAAGTAGAAGTACTTTAGATTGTATTACTAAGTAAGTAGGTAGGTATTATAAAACACTTACTTTTCTCAGTGCAGTTATCAAAACACAGAGCAAGAGCTTTCGTGTAGTATGGTTTCAGATGATAATTTTTCTGAGTAAACCTTTCAAAAAGAGCTTTCAGTTTCTTCTTGTAATTATTTAATTCCATATTATCTACAATTAACTGAACAACACTATGTTTAACAATAATTACGTACTTTAAATCCGTATTTACTCCATAAAACTCAAAGAGATACTAGTCCATTCAGGCATCAATAAAAATATTGCTTTACTTACTAGAAACATCAAACAGGACTAGATAAGACTCTCTTTTATCAACCTCCAGTAATATGAGTTTGATAAGGACAAAACATAGTTGTTATCACTCTGTTTAAGATAAACATTAACGGTCTTATTCATAATCATTTTTCACATTTTATCAAATGCTTAATAGAGGTTTATAAAACGTTTGATAAAAATTGTTATTCATAATCGTCATTTAGCGCTAAAATCCTCTTTTATCTGTGTGATAAGTTATCGAGAGCTCGGGCCTTGTTTAAAGCTCTAATAAACCTATTTTAACCTAACTTTTATAAATGTCATTTCATATGAATGTCACTTCGTTGGTTTATTTATTCAAAATATCCTTGCTGTGATCCTTGCTTGTGAAAATGAATGCTATAAATGCAATTGTGCATTTAGCCAATAATGCCGACCCAGCGCGACGTAGAAAGCTCTACCGCCAACGAAGCAACCCATTCGATTTGCGGGACCTAAATTTTAAAATAAAATATAGGTTCAATAAGGACACAGTGCGCACCATCATAGATTTGGTGGAAGATGATCTGGTTCAGAGCGCTAGAGGTGGTGGCACGTGTCCTGAACTGCAAGTTTTAGTGGCCATAAGATGTTGGGGACGTCGTGAGGTAAGCACAAAAAAGTGTTTTATTTTATCCCTTTGTCGTGGCTGCTATAATTATTTTCATACATTTTCAGGTACAAGATGATGCTGGTGACCTCCATGGCCTAAGTCAGCCGACAGTGAGCTTATTCGTGTTAGTGTCTGTATTTTTATTTTCGATTGCATTTACTCTTTCTTTCACCAACTCTTTCAGCAAATACTGAAAAGCAAACACTAGGCGTCAAACATAAATAAAACCATGCTACAAAAATTAGTAGGCACTTTATCAGGCTAAAAATAAGTACTACCTTATCTTCCTCCAACCAGTTTTCTGATCGTTGCCTTTTAGGCGGTCTGTTCTCCTTCGTCATGGACATAATTAGTATCCGATGTAACTAGCCGGGTCGTCGTAAGAGCTTATTGCAGAGTACAGGGTAAGAGGTACAGAATCCAGAACATACAATCCCAAGTTTTATAAAAGTTTGATAAAACTTGGGAGTTGATCGAAAAAACCGAAAACTTTATTAAATTTTCGTGCCAAATGTCAATGTCAGTAAGTAAAACGTCACAGCTGCCAATTTTTTGTTTTTTTTTTCTGCGATTTGTCTATGATTTTACATGGTCCACCAAGTTAAATCACCAAAAAAGCTGTTTTCGTTCATTCTTTTTGTATAGTCTGTGGAAAGAAAATATTAAACTCTGTTTTAGCTATCAAAGGTTTGTAAACGATTATGAATAACGTTTTTTATCAGAGGTTTATAAGAGTGTTTTAAGCCTATCAAACGTTTTAGCTAATGTAGGTTTTAAACCTATATTAGCATTTTATTATGAATAAGACCGTAAATTACTACTAAAATTTATCTATACTTTGGGTTAGGTCATTATTTGCCGAACCTAATTATGTGCATTGCATTCGGCCTAAAAAAAATCAATATTGTCATTATAGGGAGTTTTGTGGTGATTTTTAGGTACAGATGACAACACATAAGACTAGGTAATTAATATTTATTGTATTTTGTGACAAATCATCTCTCCCAAATGTATAGGTAGGTATACCTACTAAATAGGCAATCGGGAACTTTATCAGCAATCAGCCAAGTAGTGAGGATACGAAAATTAAATATGACTATGATATGACTATATTATTATGTATAGGTACCATTATTACTTTTGTTCTCTAAGTTAAATAAAACAAGTTAAAATAAAAATAAAAATGTTTCGCAGACAGATTACATTAATATGAGTTTCTTTCTGATATCAAAGAGCAAAGAGCAAATGTTGTGAAGTAATGTTTTTTTTATCTTAGTTACGTTATTATCAATTTCTGGAAATAAACGAAGGTCATAGTTAGCAGCTGTCTCTCTCCTAAATCTGTATTTGTTACCGGAAATGTGTATAATAATAATTGAGGTAGGTAAATATTCTACACAATACCTAAGTATACAAGTACAATGTATTAAATGCCTGGGGCGTTTAGGCAATGGCATTCAATTCCTATCATAGAGCAAAGTAATTTCTCATAGTTTACACAATCCCAACGTTATACCTACCACAGATAGTAAAATTTACCCTACATTTGATTGAATTAGGACAACGCTATGCGGGCGGTTACAAACCAAACAGAAAGAGAGAAAAAAATCTTAATTTTGCATTTTTGTTTTTTTTTACCAACTTCAAAAAAGGAGGAGGGTCTATGTGCTACACGCATAACGCTTAGGAGTTGAAGATATAAGATCATTTGAATAATATTATGTAATACGTATTGTTTCTAAAGTTATTAACTATTATTAGTTAATAAATATTATTAACAAAATATATCCAGACTGAATGTAATGACTGCGTTAGATTGTGTGTTTGTAGTGTACATTTAAATAACACAAAATGCACGTTATAACATAAGTACCTCCACGCAGTGAAGGCGGTATCAGTTTTTTCTGGCTAAACCTCCCATTAATGTTCACAACGTACTTAGGTACGTAGGTACGCTTAGATACCTTATATCTGACAGTATGGTCTAGCCACTGGCCTTTCCACACTCCTCCACCAATCCCACTGGGCCTGCGTGGTGGAGTATGGCCCAAACCACCTCATAGTTGAGGTGAGGCCTTTGCCCTGCAGTGGGATAGTATAGGCTCGGTAAATTAGCGAATAACAATCGAGTCAAAATCTGGATAAAAATTTTGACAGCCCTAGCTAAATCTTAAGGTAAGGTAGCTTTATCTAAATAAAGTAAAAAAATAACTTCTGGATTCCATGGAATTAGGACGTAAAATTTTTATGTCATGTTCGGAAAGTAAAGAGAATAATTTCAATTAAGACAACTTTTCCCAATATTAATCTAATGTATCTGAGAAAGCTACGAGATTCTTTTAAGCTTTCGAATACGTAGAATGAGATATTCCATCTACCTATGTCCCTAACATTGTAATTGGCTAACATGCTTAGTTTACCAGAAAACAAATTTTCTAAATTATCTAAATTTTCTAAGTTATCCGGATTAAAAATAGTCAATTTTCGAAAATGTATTGTGTGAAAACTAGACATGCTAGCCAAATGGAGATTTCGTAGCTATCATTTAAATCGCCAAATTTTTATCTAGCCACTTCTTCAATAAAAATGCCATGTCCAAAAAATGGTCTTCATAAAACACTGTGCCAGCTTAAAAAACGTATTTTACCGATACCGACTCCAAAAATATAAATCATGGTATTTATCCTAAAAAAAAATATTTTTTTACTTTTTAGTGAACTCGGAGTCAGTTCAACTTTTTTTTTGTTTTTATTAATAAAATAAAAAATGATGGGTGGATGATCAATGGACAAGTTTCCAATTTTTTTCTTTTAATAAAACTTGCAAATATAAGTAAAACTAATAATAATTGTGAAAGAATCATTTGTCTAGGGGGGCTGCCCCCCTAGACAAATGGGGATTTTTGAACACTTTTCGACTGGTTTGCGATTATAATTTGCACTTTGTCTATACCCTTACCCACAGGTAGAGATGGGTAGTGGGTAAAAACCCATTTCACCCGATTGGGTTAAAACTGGGTGATTTGGGTAAAAACCCGGTTTTTACCCATTATCACCCATTCTGGTGGGTGAAAACAAAAATAGCGTTTTTTTTAAAGTGAGAAGTGGTATTTGTTGCTAAGGGGGCGTTCTAGTGTTACGTAATGCAATCTGGGGGGAGAGGAGGTCTTGAAAAAAGTTACAATGCGTTACAGTGGCGGAAGGGCGGTTCGATTTCAAGTTTTTAAGCAGAAGTACTTTGTAGTTGGTGTTGTTATTTGTAACTTTATACCGTAATGTCATCAAAGAGAGAGTTTGGCATCCAAATTAACAAAATTAAAGATCAATAACTAAAAAAGAGGATCAAGTATTATTTTTGTTTACCAAATATTAAAAGAGTATATTAAACATGAATATTATGTCACCTTAAATGAAGATCATTCATATTTTATCCGTAGATCAACTAATATAGACCCAATAATTAATATAAAGATAAAATATAATAAAAAACATCATTTATTTTTAAAAGTGCACATACAAAAAAGATCAATTAGTTTTTAGAGGATCAAATAATATTGTCCCTTCTTAAAATAACACCATTTTATAAAATAGTTGGTCACATCATCATAATATGAATAACGTGATCAATTTTACGATTTGGCCACGATATAAATGCATATTATTGTTAAATTTCACTTATTACTTATTAATCAATAAACTTAAATGAGAAAAATTCAATAAAAATAAAGAAAAGATACCAATTGAAATAATTATAAAATTATTTGTTTTCACCCGGTGTAAACACCCACGGGTGGAATGAAACGGGTTTTTATTGGGTTTTTACCCTCATGTGGGTTTTTACCCGGGTGGAAACCCATCTCCACAGGTGGCCTGTGACGGTGACAGGTGGCGCCTATGGTTAAGTTTCACGTGAAAATATGGAGGTAATTTAAATAATTAATTTCTCAGCCATTTCTTGATGGATTTCAAATATAACTTCACCGGCCCACTATGGATCGAAATTGCGATTTACATACTTACTTTTTTTTCATTTTTCAGAACCTCATAACTTGTGAACGGGCAACTTTTGGCGCGCGCTGATAGTATAGGATTATAGTCAACAAGCCATAGAACAAGACTCAAGTTGTTTCAAAGCAAGATCTTTCAAGGCTTAGTCGAAATCGACCACTTTATGTTTCATTCCATGCAACGAAAATGGAAAATATTTTTCCAGCCAAACTATTGGTTTTAGAGAAAAACTTTTAACGACATTTATTCATCAGAATAACGTAACCTATTGATAGGTATTTTTTTCAAATAAAATTTTTGAAAAAAATCGCTATGTCCATAAATCGCAATTTCGATCCTTAGTGCGGCCTTTTAGTTTTGGTCTATATTTTAATCCCATTCAGTGAAATCTAATGTTTTCAACATCACGAAACTTCTCCATTTACAAATGCTGT